AATACTTCATCGTTTAGTTGCTACAGTTGCTTAAGAGATAATTGGATTAGTGACCGCCGCTATGTAGATTGTAAATTGTATGTAACAAATACCCGTTCGCATATTATCCGCTCCTGATTTTCTTTCCTAATTTTTTGAAGCGCAAAAATGCAATATCATACTTTATTGAAGAAGTTCTTCAAAGCCGGCCGTCGCATACAATGTGTTAAATTTCGCTACTTTTGAAGCACTGATGATACATCAGGACGTAAAATCTCACATCACTTGTTAAAGTATTTAACAATGGCAGCAGTATGCTGGTTTAACAATAAGCCATATTTTTAAAAGTCGTCGAGACTGTCGTCCAAATGGCGTCGAATAAATTTCTTCGAATGCCTGCTCATTTTTGTGTGCTGCCGTTTCCCTTCTTTGCCCGATACCTAATTCATATTTGGCAGGTATTTAAATTGCGCTCGCATGCAAATCGGCATTTCATATATTTATTTCGTTTAGTTGACAAGCTAGTGCGCAATAAATTAAAAATGCCTCGTCTCTGTATTTTTGTAACGTTCTGCTCGACATCAAAGGGTCTAATTTTGATAATAAAGGTTTTGCGGGATTTCTTTTATTTTGCTGTTAAAATTGTTGCTTATTTTAATAAAAATATCTGTATTTTTTTTTGTGTACTACGATCGAAGAAATTTCAACAAAAATAACGAAATATTTTCTCTTTTAGTAGTTCTTGGTGGTTATACACAACCCGATATCTAAGAAAAATACAATGTATAATGTATATGTAAAAGTTTCATTTTTTTAATAAAATATGCACCGGGTGTCCCAGATGGTCCTAAAAATTTGAAAAAAAAAAGCAAATCAGCCAAGAGAAAAGGCTAGAAATCGTTTTTGACCTTCTGAAATGATGCTTTTGTAAACACTATTTTAAATCTAAGACAAACTGAAATCTTTTTTGTTAGATGCTTTTCATTCTATCTCTAAAAGTTTTGGGGGGTGCTACAATATTTCTTGAAATAATTGTCAACTCCAAAATGGCTTAATATATTTTAATGTGCTTGGAGTCGTTAAAAATGGCTATTAAACGTGCTATGAGAGTTACCTCGTCACCAGATGGCGTTTTGTGACATTATGACACAAAAAAGAATTATCTGAAAAAAAAATTAAATGCAAAGATATTAATTTTTTACGTCAAACAAGAGCCCGACGACCCAGCGGAAACCACATTTCAATGTCTGTATCCTAACCTAAAATATGAATAAATGAATTTAAAATTCAAAAGAAGTTGAATTTTTGTAAGCTTTCCCCTCTACGAGTTGTTAATCAAATAAAAATCCTTTGTTTCTATTAGTTTTTTTTGCAATGCCATACTTGCACAATAGTGTTTATTATCTTTTTTTTTTTAAATAAAACACTATATTTAGTCACTTATCAATAGTGTTAAGGAGTAACAAAGTTTACGTTTTAAGTGGTAAGTAGAAAACCATAAAAAAATCCTTTGACAGAAATTATTTATTCCTAATTGCCATAAAAACATTTTTTTCCCACCAGATGTTATTATAATAGTTTACTTTTTTAGTAGGCTGTAAAATTCGACAAATCGGAAGGTATCTGACAAACCTCTATTTTCTAGTCGTTATTTGATGCTTCTGAAAATCTCTTATCTACCATTTTAAATATTCGAAGTTTAAGTTTATCTAACCTTTGAGTTACCATATTGCGACTGTGTTCATTGCATTACAAATGTCTTATTGGACTGCCGAAGAATACTTTGTGTTGGTTGTGTTTTCCCAGTGTCATCAAAACATATGTGTCGCTAAGCGAGTACAACCTGCAAATTAACCAAAAGGAAGACATTGTAGTAGAATGGTATTTCTAAAAGACCACTATCTACACCCTTGTGATATTGAATTATATCAGGCTATTGTAGAAACTAATTTTGATAGGTAATTAATTGGCTAAATTCTATACTAGATGGGGATCCCACTTTTTATCTGAAATATTATGGGCCTATGAAGCTACTTTTTCGGGTAATGGAGGAGTCAAGTTGCATAATATGCGCCGTGGTCGATATTTCTCATATTTCGTTTTGGTTGTTTGGAATGTTTATATTTGACTCGCGTTATTTATCGGTCTAACCTAAACAGTTATAATTCTGTCATTCGTAATATTGAGAACCCATTGGAACCTACTTTGGTATTTTTCTGGAACGCGAATCGGCGAAGATAGTTTGGCTTTATAAAAGCACTGTTTAGGTCGGATGTTAGGTAACTCCGATAGTTTATTTTGATTGGCTATTTTGTAGTTGATCTAGCGGGTTGCGGATCGTTTATTAATCAGAACCCGCGCCACCGGGTTTCTATTTCTATTATATTATTTTCATTATTTCTTACGATCTCCGACATGCATTATTGGTCTCCAGTGAATCCTCATTGGATGCGTGCTTTATGGGAGCATTTTTGTTTAATGGTAAAGTGAATGGCCATATTTGTTTAAACTTTTTACGAAACCACTTGCCGATTTTATTAGAAAAACCTTTCCTTTACAAACAAAAAGCTGCAACACAATAAATGTCTAACACACAGACTTACCCAAACCGTTGAATAGGAAGTGGCAGTTTGTTTCCGTGGCCTGCCAGATCTCCAGACCTTACTGTCCTGGACTTTCACTTTTGGGGTAGAATAATAGATATTGTGTTGTGCAGCTTTATGAAATACACAACCCAAGATAGATTTCTGCATTGTCCTTTCAGTCAATTTTGTTGTGTTGCATTAGGTTAGGATAAAGATATTGAGATTCGGTTTTGAATGGGCTTTTGGGCTTTTGCTTGGCTATCTGTCTGTCTTTGTCACAGCATGTTTGATAGCCTTAGAAAAGCCATTTTTAACGACTCCAAGCTTATTAAAATCTATTAAACCACTTCGGAGTAATAGGCATCTATTTCCGGAAATGTTGGAGCACCTCCACTACATTCGTGGTGGGGATGGAGTAAAAAGTATCCAATAAAAAAGGTCTGAATTTGTCTAAGTTTAAAGACAGTATTCACTCTAAGTATCGTTAACATAAGGAAATTTTCCAGAAAATGTCGACGTCGTTGCTAAATAAAACGCAATAAAAATCGAAAACATCGAGAATATTAAAGAGAAATTTACCGATACGCACCCCTCTGCCTCCCGCTTCTTCAATATTGAAATTAACTTTCTGCGTCCTTTGAAAACGTTTTCGAATAATTTAAAAAAAATACATTACAGTTTTTTAATTTCCTTTTTAAACGGTTGTATCTCGTTTAATTATTAATGTTTAGATATGTTTGTCTTCATATTTCAACTTGTCTTTAATCAATTGAAAACTGTGACACTAAAGAGTACTGTAAAAAAATAAATTATGGTAGTATTTTTCTTGGGTTTCGAAAACAATTATTTGGGAGTAGTAACTATCATGTTTGTCAACACGGATTTGTATCAATAAATGCCATATAATAATATCGATTAATTGTCAGTGCGCCACGGGCGCACTTAAAACGCAAGTATCTGTTGCTTATTTAAATTTCATTTTACCATGTTTATTTGTCTTTACGGCAATATTCCCGACGGTTCTGTGAAAAGAAAAAAGGACACGCAACTAATAATTCCATTATCACGTATACTATTGCAGCATCATGCAAATACTTTGCATTTTAACTACTTCGGCCGTAAAATAAGTCTTCCGTCTTCTTCTTAAGCGTTTCTTCGAAACGGAAGGCATGTTATTCCGCAATGGTTGCGACTTACAAATTAATTTGAATTGTATTTTTTTTCTACGGTTTGTATGAATCGTGAATCAGTCAAAGTTTATAATAAAACACGAGACAACGCCAAACACAACGTGCGTAGTTGCGTATGACCAATTTGAAAGTCGCTTGTTTTGACGTGCGTATAATTATTCAAAGGCATACCGCGTTATATATATGTATATATTACCTTCACGATTTCTTTTACGTTAACCAAATATTTGGAACTGTTCAATTGAGTAAAATCCTAATACTCTTATGTCTCTTTTTATTGCAAAAAAAAAGTGCCAGCCTCGGCTATTGTACAATAATTACGGAAAAGAGAGAAGAGCATAGCATTTTTATATATGGAAAAAACATTTTATGGTGTCCAGCGAAAAGAAGTCTATTAAAATTAAAAAAAAATATATCAACAAAACTAATAAGAGTCACCAACTGGATATACAAAGACTCAATTATGTGGCTAAATTTTGTTCTTATATAATTAAAATGGCCTAGCAAGGAAACAAACAACTTGTTAAATACTAATGAATAACAGAGAACGGAATGAAAATGAATAAGAATAAAACAAATGTAGAGAGAGAAGAGAGAGGAAGGCAGGAAGGAGAACTAAAAGATATAATCAAATTGATGTATTATCAGTGTGAAATTGGGGAAAAGGAGATGAAATACTGTATACTAGAAATTAAGTTCATGGAGAAATATATATTCTTTGAAAATGTCCCACCAGCTTGGCACTGATCTTGCAGTACCAGCTGGAAGAGGATGAGAAAATTAAACGCCTCCGAAAAGACCAAAGAGAACGTCCGAGAAAGACAGCGGGGACAAATTTGAAGAAGGGCAGCAGCAAAACACCGATGGAAAACAGAAACGATTGGAAATGATTTAATGTATTAATTGTAATTGTTTTTATTCATTGAACGCCGAACAGAACCAAAGGATATCGTGTAAATTTCTTGTTTATTTAGACATTTAATATGTCTGCTAGTTCTCCAAGAACAAATTATTTTGATAACCTTGTTGCAGAAATTTGCAATTTTATTGATTATTTTATTTGTTTGTAACTCCAACTCCCAAATAAATAAATAGAAATGAAAAAGGCGAAATAAATCACAATCGTGCTTGATTAGATCGAACATTAAACTTCGAGTTCGTTCCCAAAAGTTATTAGCTTGTTCCCAAAGTTTGGTTGTTTGAATAACAATCGAAGTACGGTAATGTAAAGTTGTTTTTGTTTCAGAACAATACCGATATGAAACAGCATACGCATGCGAAGGGAAAACTTTAAAAATCGAATGCAAAGCCGGCGAATTGATTAAATTGATTCGAGCTAATTATGGACGATTTTCGATAACTATTTGCAACGATCATGGAAATACCGACTGGAGCGTTAACTGCATGTCACCGAAATCTTTGAGGGTCCTCCACAACAGGTGAGTAAACTTCCGTAGGTACTTGCTATAAGCTAAACGCGGAAAATCGACTCGAAAACTGATACTAGAATGCGTACATCGCATTAAAATGTGCCTGGTTATATTTTATATTAAAAATTCAACAGAAAATTCCAAGAATTTTATTTTCTGTCGTCGTATTTCGAGATGTTTTTCCGCCGAGAGCCAGACAAAACTTTCGCTTGCAGATTTTATTAACCCTGACTTCAGGGTGTTTATTTTAAGGGGTTGCCTTCGTTTTCACTTTCTATACGTTCGTTCAGTTCAGTTTAGCTTTACGCCTACGTTTTCGACTCGTTCTGTCTTTTTATCTGTGATAACATTGCTTTGTGTGTCCATTAACGTAGAAAATAGTTACTTTGAAAGAATTTAAAGTTGACAATTAAAATCGTGATCGGCAGGCGTAAAAATTCAAAAAGGCCTTTAATTAAACGAATAGGGTTAAACAAGTAAAAGTTTTTGGAAGTGTGTAATTAATGCGAATACAAAGTTCGGCATGTAACGTTTGTGCTTTTTTGTATCTGTCAGTATTGTATGTTATATCGTTTCGGAGTTGAAAATCTAAAAGGGTTTCATCGCTTTCGATAAAAATTGCTTCCTCTTTGTTCCGTCCATCGGAGTCATTAATATCGCTGCCTGTTTTGTCCACTGAAAACGTTTACCTTTCCTGTGTTTTATTAGTTCTTTTTTGTGAAAAGTTAACAGCATGACATTTTTTCGACTACCTGTACCCCTACCTAACGCGACGTCAACGAACAAAACGCGTTTTTATCAGCTTTGGTGCTTTCAAATAACGCGTCGTATTATCAGGAACCAAATTCGCGCATACCGTACCGTGCCGTACAAAATGGCCAACAATAAAAAAAAAGAGTTATTTTATTCATCCTTGAAGGCTTAACGCGGGTCATATGCGCTACGAGGTGTTAAACGGTTGATGTGCTTAGATCAACATGCCGGCCAATTTTGAATTTGTAAGTAACTTTCTATTACCTACCTTAATCACAAAGGTAGTAACATATACGATCTTTAACAGTCTCGGACCTTTCACGACTTTATCGTTCCTCTTTATTTTATCTAATTTTATTCAAATGTATAAAATTAAATGGATTTCAAAATGCGCAGGTTTATGGAAAAGTCTCGTATGACTTTTAAAATCCCCCATTCAATTTTATTGTTAACGCCAATCGATGTCTTTGATAACAGACTAACGGGAATAATAAAACATATGGAGGAGATATGCTTTTTCTGTTGTAAATAACATTTGATCGAGGCCGTGTATCACCGGTAGTTGTGATTCGCCAATAACAATATCACCGGGAAAAAAAGAACATTTTATCTGCTTGCTTCTGGTTAGCTTTAGCGCAGTCGACAAATGAACGCTACGAGTTTTATTTTCAGATGCTCTTTTAAGAGAAACTGTACGGTAGAATTGAGCAACAGCATTTTCGGTGATCCATGCCCGGGAACCGACAAATATATCGAAGTACACTATTTTTGTGATAATGGTAATTTCCGTGGAACGATATTGAATATAACATACAATATTGTCAGAAGCGAGGAAGTATCATTTTACCGTTTAATTGCAATTCGTTTGATTAAACTGATGTCTGGCACCGGTCCAAATATTAAATCGACAGTTTTGATGGGTTTCTACATATAATGCGCGTTTTTTGTTTCTTTTTTCGTTTTCGATTTCCATCGGACGATTGCTGTTTTATTAACGTCGATTCAATGTAGTTGTGTCAACATTAGTAAGACCCGGGGAGTTTACACACGTCATTCTTGTACGAGAGTAATATCGGTGGAAACTAAATATCGATTGTGATGTCAAATAATTGCGTACTCGGATATCAAATGCAATTTTTGCTATACATTTCGTATAAAAATTGCGGTGATAGTCGGTGGGAGATGCATGAAAAAAAAACTGTTAGGGTATTTCGAGGTACGATGGCATAGGAAGTAAGGTTTTGCAATGTAACCACTAAGGATGTAAGGGGTGCTTTTTTTCAATGTATAGAATTTTAAGTTGCAATAAAACAACAATGGATTATTCGATTGACATGAATTTTATTTATCCGAAAGATAATCTTGTGGCAATACATTTTAAATATGATTTCTGGCATATGACCGCCACGGCTGGCGCGGCGGCAATAACACGGCGAATGTTGTCTTCCAAATGGTCAAGCGTTTGTGGCTTATCCGCATAGACCAATGACTTTACATAGCCTCACAGCGGTGTTAAATCACAAGATCTTGGAGGCCAATTCACAATTCCAAAACCACCAATCGTGCCTTTCAATAAATCGATTGTGGCACGGGCTGTGTGACATGTTGCGCGGTCTTGTTGAAACCACATCTCCTGGACATCATGGTTATTCAATTCAGAAATGAAAGAGTTAGTAATCATAGCTCTATACCGATCACCATTGACTGTAACGTTCTGGCCATCATCGTTTTTGAAGAAGTACGGACCAATGATTCCACCAGCCCATAAAGCGCATCAAACAGTCAGTTTTTCTGGATGTAACGGTGTTTCGACATACACTTGAGGATTAGCTTCGCTAATCGGGAACAACGGCAATCTGGTTTTCTCCCCATTCGACGAATCTACGCCTTACTTAATGATCGTTTGGCTTTAATTCTTGCTTGAGTTGGATTTTGTAAGCACGTAAACCAAGATCCTTCAGCAAAATCTTCCATAAAGTAGATGGACACAGATCCAATTCCTGTGCTTGATGGCGGATGGACTCATTCGGGTCTTCCTCAATGCTACGCTCTCCAGCAGCAATAGCCTCTTCTGTACGCACCGTACGGCGTCTCTGGGGATGCGAGTCATCAATAAGAGTAAACGTGGCGCGAAAACGTCCCATGGTTAATCGAATTAACTGCTCTGATGGACGATTTTGTCGACGATAAAATGGACGTAGTGTGCGATACGTATTCGGCACAGAACCATTATTTTCGAAATAAAATTGCACTATTTGGAAGCGTTGTTCAGGCGTGAGTCTATTCGTGATGAATGGCCAAACCAAACTGAGAATAAATCACTTGACAGCTGTTAAATCGGTCGCCATCTTGAACAGTAATGCCAACTTAAAGTTCTATACATCGAAAAAAAACACCCATTACTTTAACACTATGTGTCTATTTAAATACGATTTGCTTAATTAAAATAACTAAAAAATCAAAAAATCATCAGTAAAATCGGTTTTAAAAAATTCAAAAGTGGCATTGCTTGTGACGTTGTGATTGTGGTATTTAAAAAAACATGCGCCAATTCTCTGCCAAAGAAAAAAGTTCATCATCAAGGTTCGAAAATGCAATAAATGGTGTTAAATATTTTTAAAAAACCGACTTGTAAAAGTCAAAAAATCCTTATGTAGAATTTTTCAGATCTAAGTATCACAAAGTTCCAAAATTTAAATGTTCACCAAAATAGGTTTTGGTTAATTAGTTATCTTGACAGGTTATAAATGACTAAATTGGGCAACAAAAATTTAACATTTTGCGAGGAAATATTTGCCAGCCTGTATTTGTTATATTTTTGGATGACACCCTGTATATTCTGACCATCAGGTGTAAATATTTTACGATTCTTGCACCAAGTTTGACTTACGCCGTCGCTGCAGTATTGTTAAACCCCTGGGCCTTCTCTCCTCCAATTACCCTAAGGCGAAAAAATAATAATGGACATTTGTCGCTTAATAACAATTTATAATGATATCGTTAGGTGTTCGCATTATCAGAACTGCAGTATACCGGCCAGTACGAGCATGTTTGGTGACCCTTGTCCTGGGACACATAAATATTTAGAAGCTCATTATCAGTGTTTGCCCGGTAAGTTTAATTAAACACAATCTAATTAAAATGCTTCCTCGATTTCTAGCAATACTTTTGCGTCCATCCTCCTTTCTATTAATAAATTAAAATTCGCACAACGACCTGTATAATAAAACTTTTCACGTTGCGGTAAAAATGCGAAAAATGTTGTAAGTTTGCGTATGTACTTTGTAGTTTTTCATCTACCTTTTTTCCGCACAGCGTCAGTTCGTTCGTTATTGACCATATTAACTTGGATCGTGTTGATACGAATCGTTTCCGTCGACTTTGACTGTGAGAAAGAGCAGTTGGCTGCATTCAGTCTCAGTTAATTCGACCGACGAACGTTTATTTGTGGCTGATATATATTTCAGGTGTTTTAAGCTTTGTTATTCACAGCAGCAAACGTGAATCGGTTAATTAATCTCGGCGAATGAATGTCAATTAGGAATTATTCTTAATTCTGCGATCCTCGCGCACCGGCCGTCCCATATACGATCGTTTTCATAGACTAGCTGGAATCGTATTGAAAGCAGATTTTTCTTTTTGTATCGTACAGACGGTTACCGACAGGAAATTGGCATCTTTCGAACTTAAAGCCCGCATATTTCTTGTGGTTAGTTCGTTTTATTTAAAAAATGATTATGTTTGAAAACATTTCAGTATTTTTTCACATTATCCAATTTGATAAAACAGGCACTGTATTTTTTCAAGTTTCAAACAAGTGTTACTTAAAGAAAATCGTAAATTATAAATATATTCAATCAAATCAATCAAACAATAAACCCGTTATTAGAATTGGTTATTCAACAAGAAAGTTATCCTAAAGAGTTTAGTCTTAAAAATAATTTAAAGTTTATAATTGACAAGTGATTAGTATTTTGAAAATAAATTACTATATAGACTTCAGAAATGTGGAGAACAAGATGGTGTTTCTGTCTTAAAATTCCTGTTTAAAAATCGTCTTTGTTTATCGCGATGTGCGCCTCTGAACACAGTCCACAATTGGTTACTTGCTTTTTACAAAACTTCTGGATTCCTCCTGCTTCGGTTTTTGCTTAGCCGGAATTGCTGACGTTTTGGATTCTTCACAGCTTGACTGAAACTTCCACAGGCTACTGTAATACTTTTTACAAAACTTCTGGATCCCTCCTGCGTCATTCCTCCTCAGTCAAGTTCAACAGGATGATTGGCGAAACTTCAGCAATTTCGACTAAGCAAAAACCGAATCAGGAGGAATCCAGAAGTTTTGTAAAAAGCATTACAGTAGCCGGCGGAAGTTTCTTTGAAAAATTATTTGATTTCTTGTTTTCCGATGGGCGATTGCGTTGTTGTTGCTGTTGAGTTACTAATTTCATGCAACAACTTTCATCCGATGTATTAACCATGTCCTACATTTCGTATATAGAAGTCGGCCAAATATTTCCTGCTCCAGAAATAGGTCCTTGCAAACGTCCCTGACTAGCATCATGAATTTCAAGACGCCCGCAGGGCAACCAACGTTAATATGGTCAATAAACTGGTCATTTGACTTAGATTTTAAAACTTCTCCTCTTGGTTAGCCACAATCACAACAACGACAAGCCGACCGAGTCCGCCATGGTTGATAACGTCGCAGCCCCCGATGTGGAGCACAATTAAACCGCCTGCAGCAAGACCATCGACAACCCAAGTTACCATAACTCCTCCCTCGCCAATCCCCGGACCTATTCCGTCTTCAACATCTGTCAACTTACCTACGTCCACTGCTAAAGGTCATCCGTCTTCGGCTATCGATAATTCTCCGGCGAAAGATGAAGATATATGGAGTAGGGATCCAAATCATTACGACGCCACTACTCTACCGTTAACTACTATTACACCTGGCGGCAATAAAAGAGTGGTATCATGTAAGTTTACAAAGGCGTGTGGTTGATATGATGTTTAATTTCCATCATTTTAGCGGATACGACATCTTCGTATTCGTTTTCGCCTTCGGTTCCTAGCATAAGTCCGTGGCCCAAAGATTCCGATTTCAATCCGTTCCATTGTAACTCAACTGTGGTGCGCAACATTAATTGGGACAGTACTAAAGTAAACGAAACGGTTATCAAGCCGTGTCCACCAGGTGCTACCGGTTTTGCCAAATGGCATTGCGCGGACGTACCAGGTTCTCAACCCCAGTGGTCTCCGCAATATCCCGACCTAAGCGAATGTCGGTCCGTATGGCTCACTAGTCTTGAACAGAGGATATTGACCGGTAAAGACCAGTTGGTGTCGATCACTAGCGATCTGGCACAAGTGACGACTAGCAAAACTTTGTACGGCGGCGATATGGCGATTACCACGAAAATTATTCAAAAAATGACCGAGAAAATGTCGCAAGACATCCAAACATTCCCCGATACTAGACAGCGCGAGGCAATAGTTACCGAAATGCTGATGGACGTAGCCAAAACTAGCAGTAACTTGTTGGACTCTTCTCAGCATCCCTCGTGGAGGGACTTGAGTTATAAAGAGCAGATGAGTGTCGCGACTTCTTTGCTAATTGGACTCGAAGAAAACGCCTTTCTTTTAGCCGATACGGTAATGAGCCAGAAAACCGTTAATAGAAAATTTAAAAATATCTGTAAGTATGGTAGCGGTGGTGGTTTTGAAACGTTTCATCAAATATTTGCGTTTTAGTAATATCGGTGCGCGTATTGGATACCAAATATTTAACGAACGAAGCATTTCCATTGGAAGATAACAAAGACGAGTGGCGTGCTAGTAACGATTCTATCGAATTGCCGAAAGACGCCTTACTAGAAAACACCGACGGGAATTTTGTACGTTTAGTATTCGTAGCGTTCGATAGATTGGAGGAAATTTTGCAATGGCAACCGGACTTTTCCGATTCATCCGGTACTAACGTTTCTAAAATGTTGAATAGTAAAGTGATATCCGCCAGTTTGGGCAAAGGGCGTCACATCCAACTAAAAGAACCGGTCAAGCTTACATTGAAGCATATAAAAACGGAAAACGTTAGTAACCCGAAATGCGTATTTTGGGATTACACTACCAACGCGTGGTCCGAAGAAGGATGCCACGTTGACAGTTCCGAATCCAATTACACCCATACCGTTTGCTACTGCGACCACTTGACCAATTTCGCCATTCTAATGGACGTTCACGATATCTATTTGCAAATTCCTCACGAAATTGCCCTGCAAGTTATTACGTACATAGGATGTATCATATCTATTATTTGCTTGATACTTGCTATTATTACATTTCAGTTATTTCGGGGGCTCAAGGTAAGCATGCATTATTTATGTTATGTTTTGGACTTCAGTGGCGTTGTTCATTATGAGAAACGTTTGATGTCCCGTTCATTCCAATCTTTTTTCCTCTTTTTGCTTGTTCTATGTTTTGCTGTAAATAAAATTGAGCGTAGAGAACTACATTTAAACATTTTTTTTTATTATAATGATGGAAACGAGAATGTTAGTAAGACATTTTTAATTCTCTGGTTTTTATTGAATACTTTTCTATTTTTGTTTATAAAGATTGGCGGCGTACGCATTATGTTTTTTTGTGCTCGTTCGCATGGAGAACGATTTACAAGTCACTTAATTGTCATTCGCGGTTGGATAGAGAATTCTAGGTGTTTTTCATTTACCAGAAAAAAACTTTGACGATTCTTTCAATGCTCTTTAGGATTAAGCGACAGGTAATTTTTTGCTATATTTTAAGACTTCGATAGTTGTTCATAGTAGTTTTTTTTGCCTTTTTCGCATGTTCTATGTTATGCTATAAGTAAAATTTTTGATCGGAATATATGAAACAGTGAAACCACTGGACATTTTAAGCACGCATAGACGACGACATTTTTAATAAGTTTTTTAAATCTCTTTCGAATTTAAAATCTGATTTTATTGAATGCCTTTCTATTTTTGATTATGTAGATTTACAACGTACTTACTTTATTTTTCGTTTCCTTGTTGTTGGCTTGGAGAACGATTTACAAGATACTTAATTGAATTTTGAGGTTGGAATGAAATTATACAAGATAGAAAATATTCGGTGTTTTTTAAATTATTAACCAACCGGACAGTGTTTTTGACTGAAATGATGTTTCTTGGAGTACGAATTTAAGAAACACCCTGTATAATAATTCTAATTGTTGGCATTATTAACAGCGAGTTTAATGTATTTTTAGAGTGACAGAACAACGATACACTGTAACCTATGTACATGCCTCTTAATAGCGGAATTCATATTTTTGGTCGGTATAAACCAGACGGAAAACCGGATATTCTGCGGCGTGGTCGCCGGATTTTTACAGTACTTTTTCCTTTGCGCATTTGTGTGGATGTTTTTCGAAGGTATATATTTCAAACCTCCCTTTTGTTACGTGAGAAAATGCGAAATATTTCCCCGTCTTGCAGGTTTTCAGTTATACGTAATGCTGATCGAAGTATTCGAAGTGGAAAAATCCCGAATGCGGTGGTATTACATTTTCGCCTACGGCCTTCCGTTCATTATAGTTTTTATATCGGCAACAATTTACCCACAGGGATACGGTACGGCAAGATACTGCTGGTTGAGGAGCGATAACTACTTCATTTACAGTTTCGTTGGACCGGTGATCGTTGTTGTTTTGGTACGTAATTGTATTTGTCTCGCCCAGTTTCGTTTTTCCTTTTACTGGCTATTTTGATTTTTCTTCGGCGGCTCGTACGTTGGGCCCCGATTTTATTTATACATCTCGATGTTTTTCGAACATTGCCTCTGTCTGACATGGCGATCTTAAATTTTGTTATTTTATTTTCAGCTGAATGTCATATTTTTGACAATGGCAATAGTAATGATGTGCAGGCATGCTAGCGCTTCTGTTTCCATGAAAAATAAAGAACATTCCCGGCTTGCTAGCACGAGGTAATTATTTTCGATATTATTAGATTGGAAACATTTAGACGCTTATTGCGAATTTTAAACGAATACTTACATTTATAAATATAAAAATTTCGTCTCCCAATATACCTGACGACGAATCACTCGATAAAAGTTTTTTTCGAAATATTTCAAACTTTTATTGGTGTCTGCGTTCGTCTATGTGAATTTTCGATTTGGTACGCGTCAAACCATTACTTTCTTCCTTTCGAAACGTTTTAATCGGATCGATGGTCGGACGGGAAAAGTTATGGTTTAACCGCGTATGAAAAGAATTTCATTATGTCGTTTTATGACTTGAAGGTAAATGTTGCATAACTATTGATCGCATGTCACAATTAGTTGTAATTTACTCGTTACAATAAGTTTATTGTAATGACTAAACATAATGGTACTGGTAGAGATTGCTTAAAATGAAAGCAGCAGGACCATCAACGTAAACTTTGCGCGCTGTGGTTTTGGTATTGTCGGGATCAAAAGAGAACTAATTTACTAACTAATTAACTTCAACTTTTGGCACTGTCACTGCTTTCACTTTTAGGCAAAACGTTTTATTTCGATAATATATTGCAATTGTAGTGATTACATGTGGCGTGGTGTTATTAATTCTAATATTACTCTTTTTCTTGCATGGCAATCTTATCATTGGTAGTGGAAAGGAAGAAAATGCACTTCAAATGAAATTTGACTTGTAAGACACACACTTTTACTTTAAACCTTACTTTAACTTTAACGAACCGATCGATGATCAATTATTAGAAACTCGAAACTTGATTGAGCTTTCGCCAGTCGCGTTCGAGCATAGTTGACGATCGAGCCGGATGAAAAAGACCGTTTTAGTTTCGTACACTGATTTAACGTCGAAAACAGCATGCCAGTAAATTTCCCAGCATGCAAATCGTCAGATAATAAAGTTGGTCTTAGTAAAAACAAACATTTTCCCCGACTTTAATAAAACGCGGATTCCTAACGTTGCGCAAACATTTCCAGGGCTTGGTTGAAAGGAGCATTCGTCCTAGTTTTTTTGCTAGGCCTGACGTGGATCTTTGGATTTTTCTACATTAACCAAGAATCCGTAGCTATGGCTTACTTGTTCGCTACGTTCAATTCGTTCCAAGGGTTCTTTATATTCCTCTTCCACTGTGTACAAAACGAAAAGGTAAGTAAATCTCCCGTCTGAAGACGGTTTTAAATAAATTGGGTGCAGGAACGCGAAAGTGTTGTTCGCCTTAGTTGACCAATTCGAACGAAAATTAAATTGCGAAACATACGCGTCAACAATAATTGCGGAAATGTTTATAGAGCGGAGTTGCGTTTGAGCCGCATATGAAAACAAAAATATTTGCCGTTTGCGTTAATTTCAATTTGAAATTGTAACTGTTTAAGTTTTCGTATTATAACGTTAATATAATGGAATATTATTATATTTAGCCTTGATGAACGAGTTTAGATATCTACATGTATGTACATTTTTGTATCGTCATTACGCGCTTTTTGCATATTTTTATTATAGCCACCGGGCTGTAATTTTATTTTACCCTGGAAGCATCGCCTTACGTTTTAAAGAAATAATATGCTCTTGATTGCGCGCAATAAGTACCCTTTCGTGTTCGGCATGAAAATATTTTCCGTCAGACGTAGAAAAATAAGAAAACGTAATAGGGCAGCTTTCGCCTCTGGTATTTATCGAAAAATCGTGTGGATAGCGTCACTTTTGCACGCTTCTAAAGGTTTTTGAATATTTCAGCCTTTTCAAATCACGTTTTTTCAATTATGCACCCAGAAAAAAATATTTTTGTAATTTTAAATAACATTTTTTTCTTTTTACACACAAGTGAATTCGTTAAATTAATTACACAAATTAAGTTTTGTCCCCAGGTTTTTTTCAGTTACTTATCGTAATCGTTTTTTTTTTGCACCGAGTTGATGCGAAGTAGTCCTGAAAAATCAATAATTTCATTATTATATTACATGTCATTTATAGAGCTCCCATTGTGAAGCAATTTGATTCGATCTTTGTTAGCCATACTTTGTTTTGTACGGCATAAAAGCTATAGAAGTAAACCTTGCATTATTGTAAGTTTATTATTTATCCTGAATTTAAAAGTGGGAACACAAGTACGCATCAATTAACTAAACACGGATTATAGGTGTTATAATATGAAGTTTTCTTAAATTTTGCCCACCATTTTAATTCGAATAACATTGACGTGGTGGCGAACGTTTTTTCCATTTTAGGTACGAAAAGAGTATCGTAAATTCATCCGAAGGCATTCCTGGCTACCAAAATGTCTGCGTTGTTCCAAGAGCGGCAGCGGTGCCGGAAGCAGCAGCGGTGGTAGCGGTAGTTGCACTACCACGGGCATCGGTAAAGAAATGAGGCCTAGTCTTTACGGTGGTTCCAACGGGAACCAGACAGGAGGCACAAATTCACATTCCACAGACAATTCAGTGTTAACACCGCATGGAACAAGTGTGGGTACCAATAGCAACAACAGTATAGTCATCTCGAATAACCTAAATAACGCGCGACCTACAGCACTAGTCCAGATTTTGTCTAGGACTGATCTCAACAATGCTAGTACCACCATGACCAACCACAATCGACTGCATAATGTTTCTCAGCAAGGTACAAACCGATATTTAAAGCAGCTCATATTATTTTCGTCCTTCCCCCACGTTTTATTTGTTGCTTGTCTTGTTTTTTTACTGTCTAATTTCCGAAGTTAAGTTTTCTGCGTTTTCTGTATGGCGGCAGAACAAACTCACAGATACCCCTTAACACCGTGATTCACTGTCCAGTGCTTTTACGCTCACGTTCCGATCATTTACCTCATCTTTGCATAGGCTAACAAAAAAACCTAGAGACATGTCTACCTGCGCCGATAGAGACGTTTGTACAAATTAGATGATAGTGTAATCTGAGCTGGGCTGCTTCACTAACTAAATGTGGTGTGCTGTGGTGGTGCCCGCATTGTGCGTCTTTCTTTCGTGGCATGTCTCTTTTTTTATTTGGTAAGCGACACTCGTGGTACTCTACTAATGCTTTTCTCTGCTTCTTCCCGATTTAAACACGCCCCTCAAAGATTCCATTTAGTCGGTAGCGCGGAATTTTTGACGGGACGCGCCTCTACTTGGTGACGGTTCTATTTCTTTTACAGCTGCACCGAGGTTGGAACTCCCAGAGTTGTACAAACGTCAATCAGGAGTGTCGCACTCCTGTGCCCACTTCTACGTCGGCCAACATGGCTGCTACTCTGTGTCGCCCCGTGCGGGTGAACGATACGATCCCATCTCCTGATCTTGAACCTAACACCTCGACCCTACCTTACATTCGTAACTTTTACAAAAACTCTTCAGTCACTCCTAATATACCGAAATCGGTTTCCACTTGGGGCCCTCTGCACAAACCTTTACATTGGAAGGTGCGTAACTTAACTGCTTTGTAGATAACGTTTTGAGCATGGTATTCCCCTGACTTTCGCGAACTGGCTCACCCTTAATACCACGAGATGTAAACGGCGGAAGTTTATATTCTTCAAGTTGTAATATACATCAAAGACGTAATATATCCGTGTTCAAATGTAAATATAGATATATAGATTCTCTTGCCGCGTTCGCTGTATTAGTTCAACCTGTTTGGTTGAGAAAATCTTCGATGATAGTTCCTAATTCTAATATTTGGGGGTGACGCTGTTAGTTGCGTTCAGACGTATACATAATTCGTATTTCGTTTTGCAGAACATTTCTTTTAAGTCGTACAGTCGTGATTCAGGACACGGAGGATCTGAACAGGAAGATTCGCCCAGGTCACACATGGTCATAGTGGACGCCCATCGTCACGCGTCGTCACTCGTTAAAGACCTTCGACAAGCGCAAGCCAGTCAGCATAACAATTTCAACGATTACGGAATGCGTCCGAGTTTGCAACCCCATTGCGTCGCGATCGGCAGGAAAAAAAACCTTTCCATGAAACCTCTCCATTGGGGTCACCACACTTACACCGAGATCTACGACGCTCAAACGCCCAGGGGATTATTGACAGCCGAAGACGATCCGGTTTACGAAGAAATCGACAGGAACGAAATACAAGTCAGTGACATGAGCGACGAAGATGCCAAGAGGCAGAGCGATATGAGTCGGCAGTCTTCGCGATCTTACGGCGACCATAGGCCTTTGATTCCGTACAGTCCAGGTACCGAAAGAAATTTTTTAGAAGTAATGAGCAACAATAAAGACTTTGACACTGCGTACCGCATGCGTTGCAACAATATAGCTCTGCCAGCGTATCGTACCCAAACGGGCGACGCTGCCGTCAGGTCCCTAGCGGCAGTATTAGATGGCGAGACTGTCGTGTGCCACTTGGAGCCACCCGAAATGTACCCTCATCAGCACTTAGATGTTACTTACGTGTCCCGAACTTTAAATCACCTTCCTCCGTATAGTGAAAGTTAGAAACTGCCATTCGCAAGTAATTATCTGTGATTACCACATGATCAGACTCTTTTGGTCATATATATTTAATTGATAATTTGTTAGGCTCAGCTTGAATGAAAGAAAGTGATAATTTTATATTAATCGACTATTTTATAAAAATGAACTTATATTACGTACGAGTTATTCCAGTCAGCCTGTTAGTTATCGGTTCTTGTTCGTCTAGTAATGCAGTGGTGTCAACTTAAATCATTAAAACAATTACGAATTTTACGGCGCCGATTGAATCATTAACCTCCAGTGGCATAACGTTAAAATTGACAACACTGTAGAGATAAACGTGTTGCAATAAATTTTATTTACTAGAGCTAAAAAAAATCTTACACGGGAGCGTTTTCCATAAAGTATGAAAATATATGGGATTATCATCGTAATCTTTCTGTATGTAAAATTATTTTAGTATGCATGGACCTCACTTAAACTCGACATTTTGTAAAGCAAAGAGTTTAAGTCACTTTCATCAACGTCAAACCTGACAAGTCATCCAAATCAATGTCGAAACAAACACGAGAAGATGTTTTAATTTAATATTTCAATACATGTTGTTAATGTACCTGCCGTTTTATTTTTTCCAAATACTTTTTCGAACTTCTCTTAACCTTAAGTGTGTAAAAAAAGCGTGACACAATATACCTTGTATTAAAAATTGAAATCGTGTTATTTTTGTTTTTATTTATTAACTCGAGTTAAGGTTGTTGATGTGTTGATATGTAGGTCCTTATTAAAAAGCAATCCAAAATTTTTACATAATTTTTTAGTGAACAAACAAAATCCATTTATTTATTTGTATATAAAAATTTGTCTGTTTTTATTTTGTAGTGCGGTTTAAGTTATGACTTAGCTAGCACAGAATTTGTAAATAATTAAATAAAACATGGCAACTGCAGCGCTTGTTTCATTTCCGAACATTTCCATACGCTCTTGGGGCTGATTAAAAAAACGCAGTATAATAAAACAATTTTAATAAAATAAAGTGAGAGACTAAATAGTATAGGGACTATTCCGAATGTAAAACATCACAGGGAGATGAGTTGAGGTATTTTATAAATTTCCTACATACTTCAAATCCTAAGAAACACGCTGCGTTTGCCGGAAATGCTCTTAAAAGCACTGGAACGATTCCCTTGTATAAAGCTAATGGACCTTCCTCTTTTATCAAATTCTTAAAGACATCTCTAATTCCTTTGGGATACGTACCCTCTGGAGCTAAAATCAAATATATAATGTATACATTATTATATTTATTTTGAATAGACAAGTTTGTGATTATTTTGCTATTCGCTTTTAAGAAATGATGAGGTCAAAGTTAATTTACCAGTCTGAAGACGGCTTTTCAGAACGTCAGGTGGCATGCCAACAAGCCAATTGGCAATTCCTGCCGATCCACCTGCCGCTATAGTTCCTAAAATGCTGGGCTGATGTTTTCCATGTTCAGTAATATAATCCCTAATTCCTTCGTATGTCAAAAAATAAAGTCCACTCGCTGGTATATCTGAAAATTCGATTATATACAAAAATATATTTGTCTATAATGTCTCCCAGAATTTTAGTTTTTTTTGTAATGTGTTTTTATTTATTGTACACTTTAAAGAACTATTTGTTAGAGGAATAGGCATGTAGTCCGTAAAAAAAACTTATTAAGAAAACATGAAATTCCTCAGAATCGCGCCCGGAATAACGTTGAAATGAAGGTCATCAATAACTTATCATGACGAGGAAATCGGATACTGTCTTAGAAAAAAAAACAGGATGAATTGTGAAAAAAATCGAAAAATTCCATTTGCGCTTGTTTTATTCGATGGCCAAGTATTCTCATTGATAACGAAGAAAAAAAAAAGATTAACGTATTCAAATGTTATTTCCGAATTTTACGGAAATGTGTGGGGGCTAATATCCTGCGTTGTACATCATTGGGTTAATTACGTTCCAGACGCGAACATACGAAAATAGTGGCAGTGACCACAAAATGGATTTGCGATTAATTATTTTCGGTTTATTAGCGTCCAACGGGATTTGTAATGTGAGTTTAAAACAAAAAAGTGAATGCATGGTTTTGGTGGTTTTCGTTTGTTATAGTCGTTTGGTTGGGAAAGGGACATCGCTTGTCCTTTGATATGCACGTGTCAATTACAGCATCTAACGGAAACAGCTATTTACAGATTTATGCAAAGGGACAAAAGCAAACACGCACCTGGAGATGGAGGTTCCGTTGAGAATAACGAGGTAAAACAGGGAAATATCATAATGATTGTTTGCGGTTTTGATATTTGCATTTGATTTCTGTTTGTGTCTAATTTAAATGCAAACTTGGCAAATAAATTACTTATTTTCTATTTAAAATCAGTTTAAATTAAGTTTCAAATTAGACGTCGAACTTTAAAAGTTCTACCCGACGATTTACATTCGATATTTTTATAAATTTCAATTTGAATAAGTAATTAAGTTTGCTTTGAAGGATCCATCTCGAGTCCTTTTTAATTTTCATAAATTATACTTTGCAAAAATTATTTTCTCGACGGCGAAACTAATTAATAACTAATTCGCATGCACAAATTTTGAATCCGCTTGTAAAGTTATGCTTTTTTTAGGTTGTATACGACGATACTTTCGATACCGTGGAGCTTTTGGATGAGCCTCATCGAGCAATGATCGTTCGCTCAGCGACGTGTATTTTGCAGACGGAAACCAATCCTGCGGAGTTGATCGAATCGCTACCAGACAATATCGAAAGTTTGACGTTCATACACGGCTACGAGTCAGGAAACAAAACAATTAAATTTAGTTGGTTAAGTAAATTCAATCGTCTTACAAGTTTGGAACTAGTAGGTCCAACTATATTCGCCAAAAACGTTACAAACCATTTGTTGTGTCAAATCGACTATTCGCTTCCTGAATTGAACTATTTAAATTTAGAAAAAGTGCTTATACACAATTCGAAAGAGCAAATACAGTCGTTTTTAGAGATATTGAAAGAAAGTGAAAATATTACTTTCGAATATATCCAAAAAATCGACGGAAGTATGCATCCCGTTACGATTGTGCAAAAAAATAATAACGACGATGAAGTTGTGCCCTACGAAGTATTTAAAGAACAACGCCGAAACAATGGCGAAGTGCCTTTACTTGTAGGATTCAAGAAGCTCTTACTTTTACGAATAGTGAATTGCGAACTGAATAATATTCATTGGGAAATGTTTGACGGTCTCGGAGAATTGCAGTATCTAATATTAGAAAGAAATAACCTCAGATATATACCGCCTTTCGCGTTTTACGGAACACCTCATTTAAAAGTATTATCTCTCGCGCATAATAAGTTACTAGACATAGAAATAACCGATTTGGCTGGATTATTAGAACTGGAATATTTAGATCTAAGTCATAATAATTTTACCCAGCTGTCGGAATTGTCTTTGCCGCCATTTCCCAAATTAAAACTCGCAGATTTTGCAAACAATCCGATAAATATAATTTTCCCCAACACGTTTGAAGTCATGAATACCACGAACTCTTTAGTGATCGGTAGCGACGATATGGCTGTTACCTTTTTAACGCATTCTTTCGTCGGTCTTAATTTGTTGCAAACACTAACCGTTCACAATGTGAACGTCGATTTATTAAAAAGGGATTTTTTCGTAGGAATGTCGCGATTAAACCAACTTAGTTTATCTGGTAACATTAGGGAAATTGAATTCGACGCGTTTTTAGAAGTGCCCAATTTAGAAAAATTAATTTTAAGCTATTGCAGCACGTACAACATTTCAATGGACTCGTTTATAGGTTTAAACAAACTTCATTATTTAGACCTGTCGCATAACAACCTGGAATATTTGCCTTCCGGTGTTTTCGATGATCTAGACAGCATTAAGGAAATTTATTTAAACCATAACAAATTTAAACAGCTCCCGCGAGAGATATTTTCAAAAATTCACCCAAAACTGTTAAGATTAAACGAAAACCCGTGGCACTGTACTTGTGAAATGAGCGAATGGAAACCTATAATAGTAATGAGAGTGAAGCAAAAGTCGTTAAAACCTTGTGACTTCGCCCATGATAAAGGAATCAGTTGTACTGCGGATAACCGTTACGAATATAAATACGTTTTTGATAGCAAAATCGCGCCGAAATGCGTCGAGCCGGAACAGTTCGCTACTTGGAGTGTTTTCCAAGCAATGAGGAGAATTTTAAAATGTCCAGATTATAAACCAAAACTAATTAAGAAAGTTTCGCCCACTAAAAATGGTACAGATTATTCCGCTACCGATAAAATCAGCGTTGTATCTAACTCTAGCACGGCGTCGCCATTAACGGTGAAACAGAGGAAATTAAAATTAAGGCGCAAACTTAAAAAATCGAAATATCTGAAATATAAACTTAAAAAGCGTCCCGTGTCAGAAGAGAGAATCAAATTTGAAGATGTTGAACATCAAAACAGCCAACAGGACTTAAGTAATGATTTAAACAACGACTTAAACAGTTACAATTTAAATAATAATTATTACGATAATAGTTTACAGATCGCGAGCAATGAATTTAATGTTATTCCAAAAATGAAACAATACAAGAATTTTCAAAAATAATGAGGTAATTCTTGAATATGGCTTGATACTTACTTATTTAGTTTTGTTTTTATTTACTTTCCATTGAAATTGCGATCAATGCCATGTTAAATAACATTTTAAATGAATAAAGGTCATTAAAACTATCGTTTTTTTCTGCAGTGGTACTTTATGGTTCTGTAATATTTTCCTTAAGAAATAAAATGTGGTCTAGGTCTTCCGCGACAAAGCAATTTTGATATTTTTAAATATTTTATTGTACAGCAGACAATTCTCATCAATTGAAATGTACGCTTAGGAAATTAACATTAAAACGAAAACTTAAAAAATCATATCTGAAATATAAACTTTGAAGATATTGAGCATCAAAACAACCACCAGGACTTCAGTAAAGATTTAAACAACGACTTAAACAAATAAAATTTAAGAATAAATCGTAGCAATGAATTTAATGCTATTCCAAAAATGAAGAAATACAAGAAGTTTCAGAAACTTTCAGTAAATTCTGGAAAAATGCTTTGATACCTATTAATTTACTATTCTTTTTATTGATTTTCCATTCAATTTGTGATATATGTTATGCTAAATAAAATTTTAAAAGAATAAAAATATTTACTAAAATCGCTTTTTTTACAGTGATACTTGATAGTCCATTCTACGTGATCCTTTCGCGAAAAAGGAATTTTGATCTTTTTGAATATTTCATTGTGCAGAAGGGAATTCTCATGATTCGTTTATTCAATCAACTAAAAAGTACCACTCAGGAAATTAAAATTAAGACGCAAAGTGAAAAAATCATGATATCTTAAATATAAACTTCGAAGATATTGAGCACCAAAACAACCATTTATACTTATACTTATACAGTCGAAACTTAAATAATAAATCTCAAGCAATGAATTTAATATTATTCCAAAAATGAAGAAATACAAGAATTTTCAGAAAACTAAATTTGGTATTGTTTTTATTGACTTTCCATTCAAATTGTGATCTTTGTTATGCTAAATAAAATTGTAAACGAATAAAAACATTTACAAATATCGCTTTTTCTACAGTGGTACTTGATAGTCCTGTAGTTTTTTTCTTAAAGAAATAAACCTTGTCTAGTGAATTCTACGTGATTCTAGTCTTCCGCGAAAAAGGAATTTTGACCTTTTTAAATATTTTATTGTATAGAAGAGAATTTTCATAATACGTTTATTCCATCAACTGAAATGTACCACTCAGGAAATTAAAATTAAGACGCAAACTTAAAAAATCATAATATCTTAAATATAAACTTTGAAGATATTGAGCACCAAAACAACTTAAACAGTTCAAATATAAATAATGTTATTCCAAAAATGAAGAAATGCAAGAATTTTCAGAAATATTCTATCAATTCATGAAAAATTTAGTTTCGTTTTCATTGATTTTCCATTCAAATTGTGATTTCTATCTTGCCAAATAAAATTGTACGACTACAAATATTTACCCATATCGTTTTTTTTTGTCGTACTTTATAATCCGGTAAGTATTTGTATGAAGAAAACAACACCTGTCGTTGAAATTCGGTAAATATAGGATCAACCTTTTAATTTTATCTTGTACGTCTGAAAACTAGATATAGTCTTCGTCTTGCGTGAAAAATAAATTTTGATTTTTTACTGTACAGAACAAAATTTAATGTTTTTTTCAAAATAAGATTAAATGTTTTTTAGTGTATTATTAATAGTGTATTTCTTTATTAACTTACCCCTTAATAGTGTGGCCCCCGCTCCTCTAAATATGCTGCGCATCCCTCCTTCTTTGTATAATTTCTTAACAACATCTACAGGCCCATCATACATTTTGTTTGTTTTATTTTCCTGAATTTGAAGCAGGCATTTAATCCTTTCACCTGGGGCCATTATCAATGTGGTGAAAATTCCAGAAAAAGCGCCGGCCGAGAAATACTGGAAATGGGTGTGGTGTGAACCGTCGGAAGGCGCGAAAATCTTTTTGCCCACTCCAAAGCCCAAAAAAGATATTGCGAAAATAGGAGCCACGCCTACCAAAGGGGCACCCATTCCTTTATAAAGCCCCCGTACGCCCTCATTTACTATAGTTTTGCGGAAACAATCCAAAGTGCCCGTGTAATGGGGTAACTCGCCAGGTTTTACTGCGGGCATCGTCTGCAATCTAACCTAAGTTTTAGAGAATTTAGACGTAATAACAAGTTTACTACATTATAAACAAACTATAATTTACCTTTATGGTATCTAATGGATGTCCCACTAATACTGTACAAATACCTCCAAACCCGCCACAAAAAAAATACTCCACCGGTCCCATGTCACCCATTTTTCCAGATTTTATTTGAACGTAAACAATATAATCAAAATAAATTAACGTTTATTATTCGAGTGACGAACGAACATAACCACTACAGTCACATTTTGACGAATAAATTAAATTCTTCTTTTTTCCGTACGCAGTGGCTCTTTATTGAAGAATCTATGGAAACGTCCCAGTGAGCCAGAAAATTCTTCACATTCTTCAGTATTCGAGTTTTTTGTGTTGTCTAAGTAATAGTGGTGGAATTGAAATTCATTAATTTGTTGATGCCAGAATTTAATTTGTTCTCGTTTAAATTTTTGTTGCTATTAGAGATTTTGTTTCGTTAAGTTTAATATATGAATCACAAAATTGACTTGATAATAATTGAGATAACTAAATGAAAATGAATTATTGATATTTCTACTTAACTGAACATTGCTATTATCGTCAGGAAAAAAAATATTACCCCGCAATTGAATACGGTCTAGTTCTTAAGTAAGATATTAATTCTAATAATTCGTTAAAACGTTATTTAATTTAAAAAATCAATGCCGAAATTTCATATAAGAAGGTCGATTCGAATCGAAGTCGAGCAGAATCGAGAATTGATTTTCATTTTTACAATCTGTTTCTCGGTTGCTATCAACGTTTCCAATATCAAATTCAATTTGGTCAAATCTCGAAGAGTCTGCAGTTTTACTGGCTACAATTAGTGATGGGAACCCCCAATACAGTTTTTTTTTTAATTTAATTTACGATTCCTCATTTCAACTGCTGCAAAATATAAATAGGGGTCGCAAATGCAAAATTTTATTCTGTTCATTATGATATTGACAAAATCACACACGCACACCCAAGAATAGATTAAAAATATATGTTAATTTCACATTTTCTTGTTTTCTAAATATATTTTGTGGAAAATTTGGTAAAATTTCTATTGGAAGCCTTGGAGATCTGTTTCGTTATCCGAGGTTATTTCATCCATCGTATACAACATTGGTCGCTGCTTATGGTGATTTTCTATTATTAACGAAAGAGATTGGAAAAAATCAACAGTACACGCAAGGGTGCCACCACCGATTCGTTTAAATCCTTTATCTGAAAATCAAATGCTTTAACTTGCTTGGAATCGCTAACAAAATTATATACCTGAGGGTATTATTTTCTCATTTATGTTAATACTGTGCTTGGAAAGGGCTGCGAGAAATCTTTTAAGCAGAAATTTTCTACTTTCCTCGTTAATAGGCCGCAATTTTATCAAGAAGAGTAAAATGTGCTCAATCAGGTACGCTTCCTCCTAAAATATTTTTTGTTATGTTAAGTTTGTCGATGTCGGTCCAGCTTACCATTCCGAATTTTTTGAAGCATTCTTCTGGTTGTTTATATAAAATAACAATATTCTCAAAACTTTCTATAGTAATAATTGGCGCTTTCAACTTTTCCAGCCAATCGAAAAGCAAACTAGTTAGAATATATAAATTTGTTTCGCTAGTCAATCGAAGCCAACCCGTTCGAGAACTGTTTATGTCATTTTCGTATTCTTTTATTTTGTTACGCGTATCTGCATCCAGGTCATAAAAATCAGTTAAAATGGCGTCGACGGCATCATCTACGCTTCTAATATCTGACTGAATATCAGCTTGTTCTTGGACAAAACTTTTTTGCGTTTCCAATTCTTGAAAACAACGATTTTCAAGTAGCAGTTCTTCTCTCATCTCATCTCCATCCAATGTACTGATCTCAGAAAACGAATCGGTAGTATCGCCATTTTCTGATGGGTTTGGGCTGGACGGAGTTGACGCTCCGTTTGATGGATTCAAAAAAATCGCTTAAAAATATTATTCACTAATTAATACACGCTTACTTCCCTATAATCTTACTTTCGGAAGTCGGACTTGCGAGGCTAGCAATACTGAAGGTACTCTCTTGCCTTTTCATTGTCCCATGGAGTTTCTCGGTGAAATAATCCGTCGTAAAAGGGACATTGGCTGGTTGATTGGCGTCATCATCGTAACACTCACAAAGTTTTAAAATTCTTTGGCATAAGACGAAAACAATTTTTGGAAGATATTTAAAATTTCTCTCTTCGTACCCGTGCAACACTACCCTCTGTCTTTTTAAAAACTTGTGCAAATTAAACTCGTTCATGTGTTTATCTTTGGAAATATTATCCCTGAAATAATGACAAACTGAAATGGCCAAAGTTTGCGATCATTTAGCCATACTTTAAGTAATACGTTACTGTTTGGGGAAGAATAAATTGTGCAAAATGTCGTACGCACAGGATTTGTCCTCTCGTTTGAACTGATCCAGGGCGTTTTAGTCTTACATATCGAATAGCTTCGTTTGCACTTACCCTTAGGGCATATACTAAATAACATGCTATTAATACGCCCGTTCTGCCTAAACCTGAAAATTGTTAACGGTAATATATCACAACATAGCTTCAACGATAATATCTATGTCATATTTCTAATGGCTTTAAATGTGTTATTGGCACATCAAGTTTTATGTTTATAAGGCAATAAAATATTTAACTCACCGCGTAATTAATTATTTTGAAACCGATTTAAATGATTTACCAAATTACAGGTTGGTTTGAGAATGCATAGTTTAACAAATAAATTGCTATTGATTTACCCTCATTTTGAAAATTCGTCAATAATTTTTTATGAACATCATTCTAAGTAGAGTTTGGAAAATAATTGATGACTTAAACTCACCAGCGTGGCAATGGATAGCTACCCTACCCTCGGTTAAAGCAAAAGCTAGTACTTTAACCATGTTGAGCAACCCTTCCAAGGTCGCATCGCCGTAGTCTTTCCATGCGAAATTGTAGTAAAAAACTGAAAATGATGAATTAACTTTTAATTAACACATTTGCATAGAATTTAAATTTGTTTGCCTAAAAACACGCCTGATTTAAATGGTAATTCCACTTTTCAGCTAATGAAAGTATTATCTTTTAGTCAATCTATAATTTCAGGTAATGACAAAAATAATTTCTGAAATATTCAGTTTAAAAAAATTAATAAATTCCTTATAGAAAATATAATAATTATTCAAAACATTTAAAAACGAAACCAAATAAATAAATTAAATTTGCGAGTTAATTTTTCATTCTTCCAGAAACGGAAACATATTCATCGCGGTTTGCATCTTCAGGAAACGAATTCTATTTTTTTTTTGCGAAACTCAGCTGTAGGGTGCGTCTTTTTTTCATTTTAAGTTGCAATATGGTTCTGGTGTTTTTGATGACTGATTTTAATTAAATAATAAATTTAATTAATTAATTAAGTAATTAATTATTTTAAATTAAATTAATGACTTAAATAATTAAATGTATTATTTAATTAAAATCAGTCATCAAAAACACCAGAACCATATTGCAACTTAAAGTGAAAAAAAGACGTATCCTACAGCTGAGTTTGGCAAAAACAAAATAGAATTCGTTTCCTGAAGATGCGAACCGCGACGAGTATGTTTCCGTTTCTGGAAGAATGAAAAATTAACTCGCAAATTTAATTTATTTATTTGGTTTCGTTTTTAAATGTTTTGAATAATTATTATATTTTCTATAAGGAATTAATTAATTAATTAATTTAAATTAACTTAATTAATTTATTTAATTAAAAAATAAATTAAATAATTTTAAACAAACTAAAATAGTTCTCAAAATCTAATTTCTTACTGTTGTCTTCCATGAAAACGTTGGGATTATACGAAAATCCCGAACTTTCCAGAGGCTGCCCGCAACTGGCGTGTTCTCTGGGACTTTGCAGGTTTATAATTGACTTTATTCCTAAACTAAAATCGAGTTTTATGGACGTTTTCGTTGCAATTAGCCTAGGCGGTTACCTTTCAAATTGCTGAATGATATTCCTCTGGATTATCACCATCGTACTCGGTCGGGCCATGGCCAAGATATCATCTGTAACCCTAAAATTGCGATAAGTTCGGAATAAATCATCCTTCGAAGCTTTTAAGAATTTTGATTAACTATATGCTAGTTGACCGATGGTTATTTTTACACCCGTTAATGAGTTCCACGTGGACGTATTTCCGTACTCAAAAGCAAACTACTCATTTGCCCATTACAAAGATTATTAATCTTTCATAAAATCGATATATACGTTAAAATTTCGGACGTTGTCGCAATGCATTCTTTTATTCATTAGCGAGGGCAATATGCGCGTATAGGTGAAATAGCTCAAATAAAAATCGGATATTATCTTTTTTTAATCTGAATATAGAATGCGAAATTGCTTTTTGCCCCTATATGCTTTTTCATGGAAAACGATTACCCGTTTTCTTGTTTGGGGTCGATAGAGACTACATAAACTTTTTTATGGGTAATGCGGGCATAAAAAAGACAAACAAATTGTCCTAAAAGACGTGAATGAATAAATCGATGTTTCTCAACAATTACCACCCGAGAGATCGCGTGTATTAGTTTAGAAAATTTAAAAGCGGCCTCATATATATTATCTATATGCAGTGTTGTATCAAACCTTCCTTTGAAGTGTGTTAAAGTTTAAAAGTGTTCGGTGTCTCAAAACAAATAATAACGAGTCAAACTCAGTTTATCATTTGAAATCGAATAGGGTGCACCTGTTGAAATATTGCGTGCAAACATAATTCACACGGTTCACATGCAAACCTCTCACCAATGGGAATAAATTCCTTGTAGTGCCAGACTATCGGGTTTCCAATTTTCCGGATTTTCATATTTACAGTTAACTCCGCCACAGAAAACACTGCACTGAATACCGTGAGGTGTGAGCCTTCGAATATGTTCCGAAAGTTTGTTGTAATTCGCCTGAACCGTTTCTGTATTGGATGATTTAATTTCATTCAATTGATTCATATTATACCATGCGAAACCCAGCGCATTGGAAATTGTTACAGCAAAACTAAACTAAAAAATTCAAACTGAAACTAGGCTTTTCGGGATAGGGATATATTTTCTTCTAGCGTAGCGGCGCATGCTTATATTTGTTCGATATTATCTCGAATGTATAACCATAGAAATAAACGGTAGCCATGGTAAATAAATAATACGTCATTGTTAGTATGGGTGCCGTTTTCCCTTTAGTGAAATAAAAATCATTTGCGCATTGCGTCACTGGATATTTATCACTCGAATATATGGCCGGCGTTTATTGCACGTTTTTTATAGTACTATAATCTAGTGTTGCTTATTGATGCATTATTCATAAGCGCGCCTTTATAGATATCGAACACGAGACGTTTTCATTTTCATTGACGGCGAAAGAAAATAAGTTTCCTTGCGGCAAACTAAATAAAAATAAGTACACTTAAGACCTTGAGTTTGGAGGTTGGAAAATATTTTTATCCTCTTCCAATATTTTTGCTTTTACAGTATTAATGTCAATACCGAGTTTCTTCTTGTTTGTATTCAATTTGAAGGGTACATCCCGGTTTTATTACATTGTATCGATGCCGTAAAAGCAATTTTCGCAGACCTCTCAAAAAAATTAATCTTATAATTGACAATTAATCTGTGTGATATCATTCTCAGTTGCGAAATTTTTGAGTGGAAAGGAACATTCAAATAAATTAGTGTTTTCCATAACTAGAAGATATGATTTAATATGAAACAAATTTTATTTTAATCTCTTTTAAAATTATTCAAGTTAGAAATAAAAAATAACACCTAATATAATTATTATTTATTAATCTAGTTGTTTTTTATCTGCTATGGGAACAGGTTTTAGTTAATCACAAAATTCGCGACAATACTTTTCGAAAAAGTGATAATTAATAATTAGCAAATATAAATTAACCTATATAATAGTTTACTGTTCATCATCAGTTGCGAAAACTTTTTCTTTTCGTAACTGTATCAATAACACATTTCATAACGTCAACTAGTTTTGAAAAGTGTCACTTTAAATCATTAAGTGCTATCGGCTGACGTTCTTATAACGCATGATTTTTGCTTCTTACTCTTTGAGATTTTTGCTCATAGAGGTGGCAAAGTATTTTTTTCGAAAATTACACTTTAACTCCTAATTTTTTAACTTACAATAAGACACGGTTATTTTTTTTTAATGTAATTTGTTTATTTTAAGAAGGATTGGGATTGTAACGACTCATATTTTGAACTATTTCGTACAGATAATCTCCTGGGCATAAAGTGGCGCTGCCTTGACGATGACCTATTATTGTGTAATTTTCGGCAATTTTTCCATTCTGGACGCCGCAGTCGGTCAATGCTTTTAACGAATCCAACTGGATTTGTACGGGAGGCATTACTAAAAAATTTAGGTATATCGAATAAGCTCTAAAATTTTATACTTTTACTTTGAAAATTTCCGATCAAGCATACGCCGATGCTTCTGGCGTTGAACTTGGGCACGTGAGCACCTTTCCGTCCCCATCCGCGTCCTTCGAAGATGGTACCCTCGGTTCCAATCTAGAAGTCGAAAATTGAACTCTTTTCAAAGATATTATAATAATTTTTACCAGAAATTGATATCCTATATCATCCCATTCATTGGTATCCATGTGAAAGTCTTGAATACCTTTTACCATCTTCAGGCAACTTGTTAGGTTTGTACAATTTTGCGTGGCAGAGTGATGAACCACAACATAAGGCGGAGGATCTATGGTCAAGGGGATTATTTCCGTCGGTGCTTTTGCCTTCCATTCGGACCTTGATACTATTTTGGGACAGGTGCCTGTTTAAAACGAATTATTGGTTAGTACAATAATAGTAATAATATTTGCAATGATGCGGGCAATAAATAATACATCTCATTAATTTGACTATTTTATTTTATAAGAAAAATATTTGTTCGAGGGCCATGTGAAACGATTTTACACGGGGCGCGGTTCAAAATGGGGCATCGTCTTCAATATTTCTTGGAGTTTATTTCCGGGGCAATCGGTGGATCCTCCCTGCCGATGCCCTATAAGTCGATAATTCTGATCTATTTTCCCTAAATCCGTTCCGCAAGAAATTAGAGATCTCAGGGCGCTTATTTGAATGGATGACGGTACATTATCTACAATCGAGCAGAATTAACAAAGAGTGTTATTCTAAAATACTAGGAAAACGTACTTTGAAAACTACCTATCAAACATATCCCGATGCTACGCTGGTTAAAGGATGGGAGATGCGCTCCATGAATCCCCCAACCTCGCCCTTCAAAGATCGACCCATCACCACCGATCTAAACAACCACGAGTTTATATGGAACTATTACACAATATAGTGATTTTACAAATAACTAGTTTTGGCCTAATAATTGAATTAAAAAGATGTGCTTCCTGCAGTACTAAATTTACTAGTGCTATGGGCCATTCTTAGATTGTTTTTTTTTTTAAGCGAAACACACGAAACATAGACAGTATCAGTGCATTGTTTTGTCAAATATTGATTTTGGAAACATCGTTATGTCTCGTATATCTCGATAAACCATTTATCACTCGATTCCAAGCAAATTGGAAAATTTTATCCACAATGGGAATCCCAGCGATTACAAAAATTGCGACATGAGAATATAAAAGCGATAAGAAAATTCCGTTTTGAGAATCGGTCTCAGCGTTGAAACTCGTTTGTATAAATGACAGAAATCCAAAGATTTGGATGATTCTTTCGGAAATTGGATAACAATAGCTACTTCTAATAAATTTAAAAAACGATTGAGTTCTAAATTTCTTATAGCTTAGCCATTTAGACTCATTCGTCGACTACCATGAAAATATTAGAAAATAAACTCTATATGAATGAAAATGATTATTTTTAAGTTTTAAAATGGACTTTTTAGAAGTGTTAAACGTATGTTGCATATAAAAAGGTGACAGCAGCAGCTTATAGAGCAGAGGTCTCCAAACTTTTTAGCCAAAGCACAGGGCCAATTCGTTTCAATTATTTGTTTGTTGTTAAGGAAAATTTAGCATTAGTCACAAAATTCTTCTCCTACAAGTAGTAATGAAAAGTGTAAAGTCAGAAATATAAAAAAAGAGCCTAATATAATTATTACTTCTAAATCTGCTTGTGTATTACCTGCTATGGAAACAGGTCTTTTTTGATGTCAAGATTCTCGACAATTCTTTTCGAAAAAGTGAAAATTAATTCAAATTTTGTAAAGCAATACTAAGGAAGCAGCTTAATTTGCAGTATCTACAACTATATTCGTAATATATAAAAAGCAAATACAATTTGGACTATATAGCGGTTTACTTGTCATCATCAGTTGCTAAAAGTTTTTCTTTTCGTAAAAGTAAAAGTAAGACATTTCATAACGTCAACGAGTTTTAAACAGTGTTTCTTTAAGTGTTAAAATTATAAAAAACAATCAGTCTTCTTTTTGCCTCCTACTCTTTGGGATATTTGCTCATAGAGGTGAGAAAGTGGCAACATAAATTTATTTTTCAAAAATTAGACTGGCAGTATGTTTTCAATCCTATAGTGCAGCAACTTTTTAGCCAGAGCACAGGGTCAATTCATTTAAATTATTTATTAATTGTTATGCTTGACTTACATTTTCTGCATTTTAAGCTTTTTATTAAGCGTTACTTAACAACATGTGGCAAAAAGGAAAATTTTTATTAAACTTTGAGTTAATTATAAACCTTCAGTATATCATTTTACATTGCCCATTTCCAGATTAACACATTCACGAGATCTTTTATACACAATTGAACCGGCACAAAACTATTTATCTGCGAAAGCACTGTACCTACCAGGAAATTGTATCCGATGTCTTGCCAACCTTTCGTGTTCATGTGATAACTTTGAATATTTTTCACTCTATTTTTGCAAGCTCCTGCATCAGTGCAAGGAGGAGTTTCAGAATGATGAACCACGACATAAGGGGCCGGATTTATTTTTAATTTAAGGGTACTTTTGGCAGGTTGAGCACCCCATTCTGCACGCTTGTTTATATTCGGACAGCTACCTACGAAACTTATAACTTTTAACACTGCACAAACAGTTTTCACCACCGATAGTTTTATCAGTACACGTAATAATAATGTATAATAATTTATCATTTACTTACCCATTGCGGTATAGGGAATTGCAATTGCTAATAATATAAAAGTGTACATATCGTTCGGCTTGAAAGGTTTTGCAGTACTGATACTGAATATTCGGCATGCAATAAAACACTCAACCGATAACCTCATATCATTATTTACATGGCTATGGCCTCTTTAACAATTGGTAAACACAAGAATAGGTTTGCATGCAAATTAGCATTTTGTTTTGCTAATAACATCCATTCAATGACATAATACGTGCACCAACTTAAAGAAGAAAAATTATTTCGCTTATTGTTACAATTTTTCTTTTGTGTAAAGTCTTTAATCATTTCACGGATATATATATAATATTGCTGCGATGGTATATTTCGCTATTAAATCCCACTTAAGCGCAAAAATATTTCATTATTACCTTGCTGCTGCACACTGTAAGCTCATCTCTTAACTTTCCGCAAAATCGGTGGCTTTAAATTATGATTCGTGGTCGTCTGCTTAAAAAGCTATTTTTTCTGTTTATTTTAAGTGAGTTTTGTGACTGTACGGGAACGAGCAGGGTAAGAAAAATGCGCCTTTATTTGTTATTGTTGTTCATGATATGGCATAATTGCAGCGCTATTAGTTAATTACTTTATCTATTAAACTCATTTCACTTTGTTCCGGTTTTCCTTTTTACATGTAAAATATTAATTTCTCTTTATTTTCTATTACCGTCTAATGACCTGTGTACGGGGTATCCCATTCTATGCAAAGGAAATTCCCCCTATTATCTTATCTATTTGGTAACATGTCAAAAACTGTTGCTCAGAATAAGTATACGAGGTCAGATCAAAAAAGTTTCTGTTTTTATTTTATAGAACAAACGTGCTGTATTTCGAGAACAAGTCACTCCCGAATTGGGCGGAAAAATTCCAGATTCTGCGTTTCTTCCGGAAAGGCTATACACCAATCGCTTAAATAAAAATGGCATCTACACTAACGACGGGGTTTATTTTCAAGAAAGATATCCCGATAGAGACCACAGCTATAAGTTGTATCCACCTTCTACGCTTAAGGTAAAAAAATTGTTTTAAACGAATATTATTTTTCATTGAATATCGTATTAGCTAGAAATAGAAAGGGACAACCGGCACGTCTCGAAACCAGGAAGGTATTCCAATTCGGAAATAATCGATACGACGTACCTAGTAAGAGAACCAGTACGTCAAAAATTAATTCCACAAAATCTCCAAACTAAAGACTTGCCATTTTTCCCAATTCATTTTTTTTCAATTAAAAACGATTTGGAACATCACAGGACAGTCGATAAAACTTCCGAAGAAACAGCGGTGATTTTGGAAAACAATCGATCGATCGATTTACTGAAGTATTGATTTTTAGATTTTCAACGAATTTTTACCGCTCTTGGAAAGGATGCACGAACTAGACCAAAAATGAGATATAGTGACGAAGACATTTTCACAGAAATCTATTTTTACAATAAACCGTTTTAATGTTACCATAGTTTTAATTGTTAGGCTTTTAAATTGTCGTGGTTTCAAAAACTTACCTTATTGCAGAAACTGAAAGGAAAATAACCGTTCTGTTTGCGAAATGCTGAGAACGTTGCCCTCCCTGCCATGGGTTTGGCGATTCAGGTGGACGTTTATCTTGCGTAATCTATCATTGAAAAGTTCATATCGACCAATTTCGATTGCCTTGCACTAGTTAAAACCTAGTTTTATCTCCGTCAGAATGCTTTTGAATACAGCGGTAATTATTTAGCCCTTTCTTTTTTTATATAATCGCTATTTCAGAATGAAAGAATATAATTGGATTTCTCAGACTACCCGTTTCATTACGAGTCTGGTATATATATTTTTTGACATAAATAAATCTTGAATTTGCGATTGCTTCATAAATTCGTTACAGATATTATGAAACGGATTGAGCATTTGTTCATTTTGGTTTCGGAGGGAAAGTTTGCCACATGTGTCTCGTTCTTATCGCCATTCCGTCTTCGTATTTGGTGAAGCGAATTCAGTTTTGTGCGTTGCTATGAATAAGCTTTTGATAATTTTATCTGCCGCACTAGTGGCGTGTGTTAGCGGTCTAACAATCGTAAGTGTATGTGATTTGCCATAATCCATCGCTAATAATTTAAAATTGCGATTAGAACGCGGGTTATTACGACTATAACGACTTTAACAACCACGCAGTACCGCAACAGAAGACAAAAAAGGAGAGAGAACAAAAACAGGACTTCAGCAAGATCCCAGGCACACCGGGTGTGGACTATCCCATCTATCATTCCGTTCCTCACACTGGGTTTTCTTGTAAAAATGTACCGGCCCTTCCTGGGATGTATGCCAACGTAGAAACCGGATGCCAGGTGTATTAAGTATAAGAAATATTAAAAATAAAACGCGAATTAATTTTGGTTTTAATTATAGGCGTATCACGTATGCAACGACGGTAGAGATGGGGACCAAGGTTCGTCATTTTTATGTGCCAATGGTACCGTTTTTAATCAAAAAGAGTTTGCCTGCGACTGGTGGTACAATGTCAATTGCCACGAAGCTACAAATCTTTACAGGTTTGTTAAAATCAAAATTTTGTCAAATTTTAGGTTTTGTATCGTTGTTTTTTGTTCAAAGCTAATACTTACCTTAGTAGCTATAATGATTTTAAATCTCATCGTTTAGATTTAAACCAAATTTAGTTCCACGACATTCTGAAAATATATTATATTTCTGCTCTGGTTAATTGTGCAGAATGAGTTAAGTTAATTATCTCATTTTTTTCAAAAACTATGAGAAAATGGTAAATTTTGTTTTGACGTCCTTTTAAAATTCTTTTACTTTTTATTCATATTAATACATAACTAAAACTAATAGTTTTTCCAATATTATAATTTAACTAGTTTTCTAGCTTTTATTAATTTTGGCAATTGCAAAAAAATTACTATAGTGCCATTATTTTTAAAGGTAGATCACTAATATTTAATATTACCTATATTCGAAGATGACGTAAAGGACATATACAACGGAATTTGAATTAGATGCTACACGGTGTTCAAAATAATCGAATATATTTGGATCATTTTTAATTTTTTTTTTAGTACTTTTTAATACTTCGCGATTTATTTTGTCTATTCCAATATTTACCCTTGTTTCTCTTTAAGGCTATTGCTATATTAGGTGCCCATGACAAAACTATTAGCCAACAGGGCTCTATTAAGATTAAAAATTAACAGGAAAAGAAGCGTAGATAAGCAAGAGACAGTTATTATTATTTTCTCGTGACTTAGAAAAAAGAGATGATGAACTTTACTTAATAGTTGGCTAGCCCTGTACATAATTTTTTTTTGCACCTTTAAATTTGATGTTAACACTTAGATTGCTAATTTGTCCGAGAACACACATAATTGATTGCATTCCTTTCCAGGTTGAATTTGGAGCCAGGCAAAAATCCTTATTATCCGACGCCTAAACCTGACGACCAAAAAAAACTCTTAATTATTGCCAAAGATTATTAAGTTGCGGTATTTTATTGTTATTTATTGTCTAGCGTTACTAATGTTACTATCGCTTAAATAAATGCCGCAAAATTTAACAACTTTATTTTTGTAACAAAATTAAGATGCTAGAAATCTCTGTCGAATGATTTCATTTCCGGACTAATTGATCTTCCCGTCACAGCTAGTATTTCAGGAAATCTTCGTAATAATTCTGAATATTGCCTGCAATGGGAAGGATGTGAAATATTTAGAATTTTTGTCTCCGTTAATATTTACCTGGTGTCTGGTAACGCGTAGATGTCTCTCGGTCTAGACAGGTGATATCTACATGTACTAGTTTTATTTTGCCTCGGAACAATAGCCGAATGAGCTATAGATATAGCCGATTCTCTCTGAAATATTGCAAAATGAACGTTTTTTTCGTACGCTGAATGAAATGTTTCGCTTACCCGTTTGCTTTTCCTCTCTTTGGGTAGTTTGGGTAAGCTCTCGTTCATAGAATCTGAAACAATTCTTGACAACAATTAATACGACAAGTGCATTTAATTAGTCTCACTAATGCTAGTTTTAATTCTTCTCTCCGTCATCTGAGACTTTTTATTTTCGATCTTCGGAAAATGGTAGATGTTTTTGTCTTGCGAGTTGTCTTCGCCCAATCCGGAATCAGATTGATTTTGATTGAGGAACGTCGATCTGAGACGATTCGAGTTTGGAAATTTCAATCGCATTTCGACATCAGGCGCAACTTGGCCGTAGGTGGTAGTGCCACTTACAGTAACTGTCCATTCACCTTAAACATAGGTTCAATTAATTTCGAAATATTTATTAATTTAATCTGTAAATCTAAGATTAGCAGTTAGACTGAAATAAACTAAATCACGTGAGTTATAGATACGTAATTATTGATTCACTTTTCTTTAGTGACTCTGAAGGGCCACATGTTCAATTTATGTTTTTGTTTACTTTACTTTACATTACACTGATTACTAAAAATATTACAAAGTTACTTCTAGGCAGGACGCAAGGGGTAAGAAATATTTTTCATTTATTGTGAAAAGATGGGGTAATAAGGTTTGTGTTTCCCTCAGACCAGAGAGGTTTTTCGGTAATGATAATTATCCACGAAGGAAAAAGTATAATTTCCGATAGTGCAATAGATAGATAGAGAGATTCATTTATCGACTACGTTTCGTACAAAAGGGACGTACAATTGTAGCAAGTCAGAAGTGATATTCAAGTGCAATAAAATCAAATTAATAAATAACATAAAGACACACATCTAATACAAACAAAATTAGACAGTACTATACAGTTTTATAGCGCATCGATACCAGTGACAGTGTCAATGTATGCTCGCAGGGAGTAAAAACAATGACGTTGTAGAAATTCTTTAATAATATTTTTAAATTTTCTATTGCTCATCTTTTTCACGGTACCTGGCAAAACATTGTACAATTTCAGGTTCAATGAGTTGTTCTCAGATTTCCTCAGTCTAAACCTAGGCCGTCTAAGGAAATCCCCCGAACGAGTTGAATAGGCATGGCAATCGGAATTAGCGCTAAAGTTTCCTTTCGTTCTCTGTATCTCTAATAACTGGTAGTAGATATAGATGCAAGGAAGGGGCATCACTTTGAATTTTTTAAAACAAGGTTGACAATGGTTCCTATATCCTATATTAGCAACGACTCGAATGGCCCTTTTCTGCATTCTAAAAATCTCCACAGCAGCTGAGGAATCACCCCACAGTACCGTGCCATAGCATAAGTGTGAATGCAACAAAGAAAAATAGACCATAAACAGAGTCCTTGTTCCTATCAGGCCTCTCAGTCGTCGAAGAACGAATATGTTGCTGGACAATCTATTTTTCAGGTCTGAGATATGTTGTTTCCAATTTAGACTATCATCGATCCTAATGCCAAGCAACTTGACGGACTGTCCACTATTTACCAAGCAATTGGAGGAAAACGCAATACTCTGGGTCTTGTCTAAATTTAATTTAAGATAATTATTTTCGAACCAGACATTAGCCCTGTCCTCCAACATGCCAACCCTAACGGACAACTCCTCGATACTCTTAGCAGATGTAGTGAAGGATGTATCGTCGGCAAACATCACGCACTGATTGGGGGCCATGAAATGATAAAGGTCATTTATGTATATTGTAAATAGTAGCGGGCCCAGGACGGAACCCTGGGGCACCCCGCTTACAACTGATTCAAGTGATGAACGGTCATGCTGGTATTCTACAAACTGCTGTCGGCCCTGCAAGTAGGACGCTATAAGATCTAAAGGCAGACCTCGTATACCATATCTGTATAGCTTTTTAATAAGAAGCTGGTGAGAAACACAGTCGAAGGCCCTGGAGAGATCACTCAAGGTCAAACCAACTAATTCACCCCCCTCGAGGCCCTCAACTATTCCACTCACAACTTTAGACACTGCTTGGATCGTCGAACACCCTCCCCTAAATCCAAACTGACCAGCACAAAGACATTCGATCTTATTTATATAAGAAGTTAGCTGATCTTTTAGTAATGTTAGTAATGTAGTAGATCTTTTAGTAATGATTATCGCTAATGCAGGCACAAGCAAATGGCAAATCAAATTATTGTCTAGATTATTCAATGAAAATTTTTAACGTTCCTTTGCTTTAAGAATGAAATTATTTCTAAAACAATATTTCGTATTGCAAAATATAATCTAGATAGCATTTTTTTTTAACTTGAAAGTATATCGATATCTTTCTCACTTTTTCATTAAATTAAATTTTTGTAGCAACTTCTTCTTCTAGAAGATCAATATTACTATAACGAAATAAAATATCACTTTAAATAAGGTTAGGAAAAATTGATGAAATAAAAATAATAATAATAGAATTTGTTTCTTTAATAGCGTAGTTTCTTTAGAAATGAAAAGTTACAAAACTATTTACCTGAATTTTTACTACAAGTCTCGTCGTTGTTCCTAAATTTGCCCTTCCTCTGGAAGCCGCTCTTCTTGAATTTTCCACCGGATGACATTTGGTTCTTTTTTCCCTCACTGCTAGACGATAAAGGAAAATGATCATTGTTAGACGCACTTTTAACTTTGTAAGTGGCGTCGCTTTTTGCTGAGTCGTGTTTACGACTCAAGTTTCCATTTATATCTTTATTCGTATCCACGTTTTCGTTAGCCTCGCTGTTCTTTCGACAATGTCTTCCTAAATAAAACCATCTAAATGTTTTTGTTATTTTTTTTTTGTTAGACTACTTAGGTTAATTGTTGTGCTTGGTACTTTATACAGTGCGAAGGTAATTACGATTGTTTAGAAATGTTAATACCTTCATCTGAAGTACTGTCTGGCGTCTTCATCGCATCCTTACGTACTGTATAAAATGTTATCCAGCCCTTAGGAATCGAACACGAGGAATCTTCCGTAGCGGCCATCATCATAGGCGGCGATTCTTGGTTTATGTTTTTAAAGTTATCGTTTTTATCTCTCGAAAGCGTCGTTGAAAATTCACTCGCATTGTCTCGATTGTTATTATTGTTAGTATTGCCGTTTTCTTCGGACGACGACTGAATCGACGCAAGTTCTTCCGGAATCACTTCGAATTTCTGAAGATATTTACCCGTCGCGGGCGATTTTGGTTTATTTTTGGCGTCCTCGTTTAATTTCTCTGAGGTGCGATCATCTAGACCGTGATTGAGGGTGTCGATTAAAATATTCGCGATTAACTGATCGATTTTCGGATCTCGAATATCCGTTTGGACGTCTAAATACACAGGCTTATCGAACGTTTTTTTTGACTGACCGTGATGTACTGCGATTGGAATTTTCGACTTGTCTCTCGGAGATCTTCCGCCGGGCACCTCAACACATTCCATTATTTCCAATATTTCTATTCTCTTGTGCGTGCTCTTGTACTCCGTTTTTTGGTGCGTTTTCGTATGCTCGAAATCACACAAATACTCTTGCGGTTCGGAGGATTTGATTCTGGCTTTGGAGGACCACGATCCTTTTTTACGAGTTGCGTTTTCTCCGGCATCCGATTTCGTCTTTCTACCTGAATTATCAATTTTCACTGTCTTTACCAGGTCTATTTTAGGAAGCACAGGTCTTGATCTTTTCCTATACAACGAATTAGCACTGGAGAGTTTAGTCTTGGCATCGGCTACCGCCGCACCTATGCTCCCAAAACCAGAAGCTGATTTGATTTGTTGACATTTCTCCTCCCTCTTCTGCTGCCTTTGTTTCAACTTCTCCCTCACTTTCACCGGAAGCAGTTCCGACACCGGCTTCACATCTTTCGTCTTCCTCACTTCGATGGGGATGAAAAAGGCAGCCGATTTCTTCACCGAAGTTGCACTTGTCCTTGTCGATCCTTCAGGTAATAAGTCGAAAACATCCATCGATTTTCCCACCGGTTTTTCGTCGTAGTTTACGACGCGAGGAGAATTGAAATCTTCTAAACTATCGACGAAACTAGCACTATCCGATTCATCTTTATCTTCGTCGCCTGCTGAGGTGTTCACTTCCATCGAGGAACTTCTCGGAAGAGCTGAGAACCTAGGAACTACTAATTGGGAAGCTTCGGTTGGTTTACTATAGGGGCTTCCGGTTTCTATGTTACTAAGGATATAGTTTTTAATTCGCTGACTGTCGGCGGATGGTACACTCGAGCCCTCGGTCTTAAGAAAGAAACTCGTGGGTGTTTCGAAATCAGACGTCATGGTGTTTGCTAAATGTATTTGCTTATCGGCTTTATCGTCAACACTCGTGTCGGCAGTTCCGATAGAAATTTTATCGGCAGCACTCTGATTGTTATTAGCGCTAATGGTAGCCGTGCTAATATTGATTTCACCAGGCACAAGCTCGTGGACTTCTTGCATAATTTGATTGAAAATAACATCTAAAGTCTTTTGGCTTAATTTTACATTTGAAATAACGTTCAAATTGGTAACCTCCTGGGTCTGGACGGACGACTCTTGGACGGACCTTTGACTCTCGGGCACTCTATTGGAGTTTTCGTCATTGAAAGCACTCGAAGCGATATTTGACGAATAATAATTTGAGTTGCTGTTCGCATAAGCGGAATCCGAATTATCCGAGCAAGTGGTAAAACTTGAGAAAGTATACTTTGTCGTGCTGTCTCTACTATACTTCCTCGACTCTGGAGGTAGTCGTAGAGGCGGCACTTTAGAGTTAATATTGCTTTTCGATGGGCATTTTTTGGGACTGCTATTGATATTCCGTATCGGAGAAGTTCTAGAATCCCACCTACCGCGTGAACTGTGTTCTGGACTGGAATGGCAAGAATTTAGAGACGGAGTCGAACAGAGCTTTCCCCGCGTGTGCTGCCACTCTTGATAACTGCCGGTTAATTTTGACTTATTGTTGGTCCATAGTCTTCTTAATAGTGTCGATTTTCTTATAAAATTCGAATCTTTTTTTCTAGTTAAGTTGGAATCGCTGCAAGAGCCTATGTAATCATCCAAATTATAAATTCGGGAATCTTGCGAATGACAACGTTCTTGTGCTAAAACGTGCCTTAAAGTGTAATTTCAATTACGTTTAGAAAAATCGAATATAGGTGTTGCGGCTTACTTTCTCATCACAGTTTCGGGTGCGCTTAATCTACGTCGCTGCAGAATTGGTGAACAGGATTCGGTTGTCTGCGTTGAAGATTTTCCGGAACCGCTTTCCATACTTTCAGATTTTTTTATTCTGCGAAACACGGTATTTTTTTAACACGCCGGAAACAACAGTTTTTAAACTCGAAATGTGCAAATGCGTCTGCATACCAGGTATCCATCCCATCGGGTTGCAAAAACGATTAAGGGAAGCAAGTGCAGCATTTACTAAATTTAAAATCGTCTATAGCGTGGAAGCGTTGGTCAAGAAAACCAACAACATAAATAGAATGGTAACAAATGTAGAAGTGTTCAATAGACCGCAGAAACTGAAAGAATTAATAGGTAAAGTCTGTTCATAGATATAAGAAAGTGACTAACTGATACGAATTAAGGAAAGACCCGGGCAAGCTGTAAGAATGAAATATGGCCGAAGAGCTCCGTACTTTGCTTATGTCTATGCTTAAATCTAAAATAAAATTAAAAATTATTTTTATTACCTACTTAAATTACTTAAAATTATTCACATATCACTATCGCTATCATCGCCTGTTCTAATTATTATTTATTCTATATTATTTGCAATATGGATATACGATTGTTCTGCTTTTTCTATATGTTTAACAGAATTTGCCCAACTTTGTGGAGGGATGTTAAAAACTTCGGTTTCTATAAGTTTGAGGACATTGGTGTTAACACGGGGAAAAACATTGTTACGACGAATGGCAGATTTCAGTTGGTGCCAAACATGTTCAGTGGGATTAAATATACAGTGGTAAGGTGGAAGCCTTAAAACTGTATGCCCTAGATTGTTTGCATAACCATCACAGCCGTATTCCTTTTGTAGGTTCAAGCTTTTTAGAACCTCAATTAATTGCTTTTTGGTATAATCTTCGTGAAAATAAATGTCGTTTGGACGGTTGCTTTTGTGTCACATGAGGAAGAGGTTTTAGTCAACTGTCTACTATGATAACTTGCATTGTCCATTACAATGGCGCTATTAGGAGAAATGTTTGGAACTAGTTTGTTTTTAAAGCAACTTTCAAATAAATCAGCGGTGGTGTCTTCATGGTAATCCAGAGAAGAATCTTTAATATTTTTCGTAGACAGAGAAAGTCCATTTGGAATCCAACCATCTTTAGCGCCAGCATGCAAAATAGTTATTCTTTTACCTCTTTTTGATGGCGCGTTTGTTTTACACTTAGCAGGGGTATCATAAGTGTCGAACCATACAGTTGATGTTGGAATTTTCGTCAATGTGGCCGGTTCTTCTAAAGATGCTTGCTTGCTGGCAACACGTTCAACGAGAGTCAAATAAACATTGTTTATAACTTCCTTAGTCTCAATAGAATAGTGTTTCCTACATTTGACTCACACATATTTTGCATAATTTGCACACGCTGTATTACACACGAAATAAGAATGATTACTAATTAACTTAAACTAAGTAGAATACCAAACCAAAGAATATTGAAGACAGGTAGGTATAAAATTATTTTCTATTACGCCACCACAATTTTATCTGAATTTAAATTCCGAAACTTTAGGTAATAATCTTGTTGCATTGTATGTTAATGACCACTCTTGGATAATCCCATTCAAAAGCAATTGGTCACTTTCTGGTATCTATGAACAGACATTATTATTAAGAAAAGAAAAACCTGCTACTTGGGAATATTCAAAAAATTCATTCAACAACTCCTCTTAGGAGGATAATGCTTTAGGCGGTGATATTTTGGTTGACAAGAAAATTTACCACGTTACGTACGGTTTAAATAAGAGAAGCGATAGATTGGGATAAATATGAGCAGAAACTATTTTTATATTAAAGCAATCGTTATAATTAAACTTACCTCTTATTTTCGGGCGATTTCCAAGCACTTTGAATAGTGGTTAAAATTTCGTCCAAATTCAAAGTTTTCCTCGTCCGGAAGTTGAACAGTCCTGCGGTAGAATTGATCGAATTGAAACAAAAAAAAAATGACCCGCGCAATTCGAAATTATAGAAAAGAAAACCCGTGCATCGCAATGAAAACGAAATGTTCGTGATAGAGTAAAAATGAACCTTGTGAGGGTCGATATTTTGCCTTAGCGAGACTGATCCATAGTTTATACCAGTGGCAGCGCTGTTTCAAATTCCTACATTTAATTAGAATTTCAATTATAAAAAATAAAAAAACACAGCACGAAGAGTATTAACAATTACTACAAACAGAAAGATTGGCTAAAAGATGTGGTGCTATTCTTATACAAAAATATATATAAAAAATTAGGATGTTTTAATCCAGTGTGTGGATAAATTCAGAACAAACTACATTTTTTAAGTACAGCAAATATAAGTAAGGGTGTAAAAAAGAAATGACAAGTTACTACCAAACTAACTACCTAAACTAACCAAAACTAATTAAAAAAAAAAAGATTGTACATTCCGATCATTTGAATTTTTATTTTTTCTAACGGAAGGTATTTTGTTGCGAGTGCTAGTCTCACTAAATAATCATTTATTACTAATCCGCAAGGTAACGCGCTAATAACTGAAACTACGCCATTGAATATTATAGAACGTGAAAGTGCCTAAATAATACAAGCTGTTTCACTTTGTAGAACGGTTTTTTCGCATTCGACGCCATGCTGATGTATGGTTTTGGTTCAGATTTTCCGCGAATTGATTTTTTCCCTAGAGGTTAAATGTCTGCACAATAATTTATAAATAGACATTATTACCCCGATGACTAACCGAGAGGTGTACGCAGACAACACGGCAAATTTCATGTTCTTAACAACACAAATTACCAAGCAAATTGCTTTTTAGCAGGTTTTACGACTTAATTTTTGATCTTCCTTTAAATATCAATTTAATACGTAACGTAAAAATACAGCAATAGTGCGATGTTACTGAAAAAAAATTAAATTTTTGAAGTAAATCAAAAACGACATTTTGGACGCTAAGAATAACGCTGTGTTAATTTGTGCTTTCTGGTTTTATAATAATAATAACGTTTTCATTCTTGTATTTAAAGAGACGAGAGAAAAAAATGTAACAATATTTTAAACAGGGGACACATATTAATAAATAAAATAACAGTGTTTAATTAAAAAATCTCAAATTATTGTTGCCCCTCAATCGAATTTTCTGCAATTTGTAACATAAATAAAATTTAATCTCGAAAACGTATTTCTTTCGATCGCGTGGTTAGTTTTTAAAATAGCAAAGAATTATAGTATACCTTTCTAATTAACATCTCCGCACTTGTGCTCGCAAAAGTCACTATAGTTCAGGCATGCTTAAGATTTGAACAAGAAACTACCAACGCGAAGCAGACTCTAATGAACAGAAATAGTTATACGGGCGTAAAGCAGATGTAATAAAAAAAACAAAAAATTAAAATTCTTCACCTGCAACGGTTTTAACAAGATTGGTTGAGGATCGTTTTCTGTTGAAGTCTTTCCACTTTCGTCGTATGGGTGACGAAAATAGAAAATGCGAGTCCAGACGTCTGGACGGCGCCAAATCCGTATTTTCTTCGTTCGCTGGTCGTATGGAAAACGGCGGCGACAGGCAGAAAACACACAATGGGGTGCTGTTTTCAACCTAAATAGGGGTATTCATTGAAAATGACTCCCCGTCGTTATTGCGGTCTTATCGATTCGTTTTTTTTTTCATAGCGGCTAATTAATGACTGTGGAATTGAATTTATTTTAGTTCACTACAATTATCCGGAAAAAATGTTTATGTATCAACGTTAAAGATATATTTTAAATAATAATAATAAGAAAGATGTACAGTATTCATTTATGGATCTATTTTATGAATCTATTTTAATAATCTGATAAAAAGCGGGTAAAACCACGACTGTCTAACATCTGTTATAAGGTTTTATTTAAATTACTTGTAAAAAAATAGTATAAATATTACTATTACTACTATTAAATAACTTCATGAAGTGCGTTTTCCATTAATGGCAAAGTATTTGTTTGTCGGAGGATTTTAATATTTTTTTTATTGGATAGATAGTTAACAAACTAACCAAAACTAACAAATAAAATTACTGGAGATATAAATAATATACCTGCGTATAACATAAACTGTGAATTTAAAAAATATCCATATTCATTTCGAAAATAAATTAATATTCGCACGCTTGTAAGGTTTTATTTACACTTAGGCGCGGGCACTACTTTAAAGCTTGGCTATGAAATGGAAAATATTTATACAAGCAATAACAACAAATTAAGAAACATTTCGTTACCTGGTAATTTTTTTTTTCTGTCATTTTTTGCTATCATTTAACGTGGCCATCAAACGTTTAATTGCGGCTAATATCTAAGTAATGAAAATGAACGCTCCGGTGATAAGCGAATGACTAACAAGTGTTGCTACTTGCATTATTAGACGTAAATAAAAGGCGTCCTGTATCACCCTGTGCATTACCCCAAATTTGAATTGAGCCTATCCGAAAATAAAATCAATATTAAATTAATTTATTTCAAGGTTTTCACTAATAATCATCTACTTTCATTGTGGTTCAGAAATTCGTTCCATGTTTTTACTTATTAAAGATTTCAACGTTGAGGACGTGGTTATTGTTTATTTATTGCATTTTTAGTGAGAATCCCAGGGTTATAGGATCGGAATTCCATTTTTAAACTAAGACCACAAGAATTAAAACAGACGTTAAGTCATTGCGAGTTTAGATGCTTCTATTTTAGATTCTATGGCGATTATTTCCAAGCTTGCCGTTCTATGGTTCTAACCTACAAAAATTTAAGAATGTAAACAATTTACTATGTTATTAATAGTGTTTTGTTAAATCAGAGATGTCCAAATCCGAAGATGAATTTTGGAACAGCAGCAACCATTCGGGATTCAACTTTGATGACGAAGAGGTGAGCTTGTTTATAATCATATACGAACGCTGACGTATTTAAATATTTCAGGATACTGCCCAAGTTATTGATGACTTTGTATTTCACTCGTCTGCAGAAGATAATTCGGAATTTCCAATTCATGCAGTCATTTCAAAAAACTGCTTAGATCTTGGTAACATCAGGAAACTTTATGGGGTTTAATTTAATCACAATAATTTTGCAGTGTTGGATGATATTCAATCAACAGTTGACATTGCTGTACCACCAGTTGATGAAACTATTAAGAAAATGGTGAATGGTCATAAATACACCCTTCATGTCTATATCAAATTTCAGGATAAAATGAAGCTCTTGGATCAGGCCTTAGACACATATGATGGTGATGTTATAATTAAAGTTGGTGGCAAGATGTATTAAAGTGAATATTTTCTAAAACTGCAAATTTTAGGTCATACTACATTTAAAGAATAACCTGACTCCTAACATATTTTATCACCAGCTCTCGAAACGAAAAATTGCAATAAAACACTTCGGCTATTATTTAATGAGCCACAACAAATTTGATGAACTAGCGGACCTATATATGTAAGACATTTAAAGTAAAAATATCCAAAGGAGATCGAGACCAAATAGGCCCCCATATTTAGGCAGCTAATATTAAGCTCACTTCCAGTGACTTGCACATTTAGCACATCTAAAATTGCTATTCTACTAATTTAATTAATAAGTATTTAGTTTGTCAGTTTTGGTGATTTCTTACCTTAGTTTGTGTGGATTGCTCCTTTTTAGACATCATATAAATGGGTCTCCTTTATATATAAGTAACACTGTTTTAAATTAATCTTTTTAAATGTTTTTTTTATAAAAAGGGCAACTGGAAATACCTCAAAGATGGTGAGTTCTTTTTCAACCCAAAAAAACATATTAAAAATATTATTTTTTATGCAGAAGGAGCTGTATTATTTAACTGGATATGGCATAAATAGTAAGGAAATACTGTACAAGAAGTTGGATCAGTTTATGATGCAGCATTTGCAAAAACTCAACAGTAATGATGACAAATTGGAACTTTATGAAAATATGCAACTTATTCGTAAGTTCTTTATATTGTATTTTGCATTGTGTTAATTGTCAAAATTTATAGAATACCAGATTAAGAAAAATTGTGGTGCTAATTCTGTTGTGGAACAACTTGCAAAGTTGTGTAAATCTGAAATTTCTAGCCAAAATTATTTAGAGAAACTTCAGGAATTTAAGAAAAACTTTAAAATAGACGATTTTACGTTTGAATGGGTCTTAATGAATTGTCTAGCGTCAATGAAGCTTTGGAGTCATTTAAGTGATGCTTTTATTAAAACGGTAAATTTTCAAATTTTATTAATATTCCATTATGGAACAGTTGCTTAATAACTTAATATAATAATGTACTTTGCTTTTGCTACTGTCGTTCAGAATTTGTTTTTCTAGAATTGGTTGACTAAAAAGAATGTCCTAAAAACAGTGATAAACTCTGATGTCCTCTTCCATGGCTTAAGTCGACACAACCCTCCGAAAGATGTTCTGGAACAATATTTATCCTGTATATCTGATACAGATAAGGCATTGTTTTTAGCTCAGAAATTTCAGTGCCATAACTTTGTCATTTTACACTATGTGAGCCAGAGAGACAGAGTTGCCTTAACCAATTATAAGGAAAAAATTCTCCCACAAACAACTGAATATTTTCTCATAGAAAGTTCTTTGCAGTCCACGGTATTTTATTTATATTTTTTGTTGTATTAGTATTTGTACAGCATTTCATGTTGCAGGACAAAAAATGGAAAAATTGACCACTTCTTATGGGTTACTCATATTCTTTTGTCTTAAATATTTTTATATCCATTATATATATTTTTGTAAACAATTTTGTAAGGATGTTAAATAAAAAACTATATTAAATAAATTAACAGTTTGTTTGAAATAGGAAAGAATAATACTGATACATGTACATGCCTTCAATATGTCTTAAAATAATATTTTACACTAATTGAAACAAAATGCAATAAATAATATTCTTTTCTAAAAATACATTTTCAGTTTGACTGAAAAATACAATATAAAAAATATATTTTAAACAGAATGATTGAATATTTATACACTATTCTAATTTTCAGGAACTTATCAATTAGAGAATAACATCGCGTATTATTGATGTGTTGTTTAGTATTTACAAATTTATTTGTTTTGGATGCTAAATAAAAATTGATTGTATATTACAAAATATCGAGATAAAACAAACTTGGAAATTTCAAAGTAGAACATTAAACATACTATAGGAATCATTGGTAATTATAGACAAAATAAGTTTATAATAATGCCATTTACTATTGACGCAAGTATTGTTGGTACTGACCATAAAAAATAATACTTATAAAAATTCTGTAATATTTAAATCTACAAACGAAAATTGAATCGCGATATAAATGCAGTTTTTTTTACCGTGAAAAATTAAGTGTGTCTCGCGCTCCTTTTCGATTACTTCACTCAATTATTGCCCCACTCTTAATACATTTAGAATCATATTTCAATTATTGCACTGAAATTGCAAAAATAAATATAACTTATCACAGCGCTAAGGAGTATCTCGGTCCGCTGAATCTGACCGACCTGGATGGGGGTGGTTTCTTTTTGGTGGTGGCTGCAATGGAAACAGCCTATGTTCAGAAGGCCAGTAAATTTGCTTATCTGTTTCGTCCATCGCCGACAAAGATGTTAAGGACATCGTGGGTACAAATTGTTCTGGCATCCAATCGAATGAAAATGCGTTTCCCGTTTGTGTACTGGGTGTTGCAGTTGGTGTTGGTGGAGTGCTTCCCACATAAGGGCTCAGTTCTTGGTGACATAAATCGGGCACTTTTTGAAGGGTATCTGACCATGGCGGACTAGGATTCCATTGATCCATTAATTCGTGGGGATCGACTTTAAGTAAAGTTCTTGGTCTTTCGTTGAAATGGGAGATGACCAGAAGACCACTCGTGCCTCCTCCATGATCTCCAGATGTTTCGATGTTTGCCACGTCCAGTTCCAAATTCTGCGGTTCCTTTGGTTTTCTTTTGCTGTAGCTGTAATCGACAGGTTCGGAGTCGGCTCTTCTATGGTGATGGTGATGTTGGTTGTGGTGCGCGTGTGTGGTTGCAGTGTGGTGCGTTATTTGTGGTTGGAGGGCTACCGGCATTGCAGCTAAATGGGGATAAGTGGTAGCTTCGTGTGCGGTCGCAAAATCCACGGTTCCATGTCCGCTGTGTTCGGGGTAGTATAACAGTCTCGAAGAATGTCCAACATCATACGTTAAGCCATACTGAAGTTTATTTTGGACGGAATAATAATGATACAACCAACTATTGCTCCTCATAACTGCAGCTTCGGCATCAGTTAACACTTGGTTCGTACATACTATAACAGGTTGTTGGTTACTTTCGGAACTTTCTTTAACTTGAAGTACGCAATGCATCCATAACCATTCACCAGAACGTCGTTGGAATTGCGCGAGCAGAATGCAGGATCTTTCTTGTTCCGACTGGGTTACTATAAATCAATCGATAACGTTATAATAAAAAAGGTATAGCGGCAAAGTTGAACAATGAAAATCAACTCACTGAGTCTATGCTTCGTTTGGGCTTCGCGAGTACATTCCCAATGTAGCAGTCGGTACCATGAGACCCCCCGTAGTTCCGATCGCGGAAAGCCCAGGTAAAATTCGCCGCTGAAAAAAGAAAAAGTAATTCAAAACTGGCATCCGACTCGACGCTTTCCGCGGTAAATTTACGACTTAAATTTTTAATATTCCGGTGGTTTGTTTTTTGGTTTTTTGGATAAAAGAAGACGTTAAAATGCCGTAAATACTGTAAATAACGTATTTAGTTATGATAATTACTTGTTCGGACACTTAAACAAAATGACTTTAATACTTTTTTACAGTGGGGCATCTAAAATCGTATTAATTTTTGTCCACAAAGTTTTGAATAAAATTCTTAAAATTTTATAGGCCTATTCCAAGTTCGATTTCAACCTAATATTTTTTCTTCCGCATGGACCCTTTTAAACGAAAAAGAATTCATTAATATGCCAAATTGTCTTTACTATTTTCGTTTTTGAAGAATTATGAATATTTTCAATATGCGGTGCAAATTAGTCATATAAAAAAAGAAAGGACAAAGACACTGATGTTGCGATATTGAAAAATTACTTACATATTTCAATTATTGTCTCTGTATCACTTGTGCGATTAAAAATGTTATATTTGGATTCGAAAAAGCTTATCATTAATTTCCCAAATTTTATTATTTTTGTTTTTCAAAAATTAATGATCGCGATACACGTGTGGTGACAAAGTCTTTTCGCGATAACCTGAAAAAGAATGATAAATTTTGAATCATTTTTCAGAAAATATAATCACTTAGCCGATTAAAAAGAGCGCACTTTATCTTGTTTTGATTTTTGCAATCGAAGGGGTCCAAAATTAGGAGTTAGCAGACTTAACACGAGTTTTTTTGTATACAAGTAATTAGTATGTTCCATCGCGCCAAAAAAGTAATATTATTGACAAAACTATTGTCTGTTTTCCGGTCTATTATTCTATTTGTCCTTTTGGATCCCATTAGTCGAAAAGTCTATTCAATTTCATTATTTTTGTTTATTAAAAATTGATGTTTGCGATACACGTGTGGTGAAAAAAGCTTTTTCGCGATAACCTGAAAAAGAATGATAAATTTTGAATCATTTTTCAGAAAATATAATCACTTAGTCGATTAAAAAGAGCGTACTTTATCTTGTTTTGATTTTTGCAATCGAAGGGGCCCAAAATTAAGAGTTAGCAGACTTAACACGAGTTTTTTTTGTATGCATGTAATTAATATGTTCCATCGCGCCAAAAAAAGGAATATTATTGACAACTATTGTCTGTTTTCCGGTCTATTATTCTCTATGTTCTTTTGGGTCCCATTATTCGAAAAAGTCTATCCAATTTTATTATTTTTGTTTTTCAAAAATTAATGTTTGAGATACACGTGTGGTAGAAAAAGTTTTTTCGCGATAACCTGAAAACGAATGAAAAATTTTGAGAGCGTATGATGATTTTTGGAATCGAAAGTGTCCAAAGTTAAGACTTTGCAGACTGGCGCGCATTTTTGTACATAATTAATATGTTCCATACCAAATAAATAATATTATTGACCACGTTAGTATCCGTGTATTTGCCTTTTGTTTGGCGGCCATCTAATTAAACGTCGATAACGGTACCGCAGTTCTATTACCCCTGCGGGGTGTGCCGCACGGCACTGTCACAGGTCCGAGGTGCATCGGAACAGCGGCATGTGCTCTATGAGGCATGAGGCCGCTGGCTTGGGGCTTTTGTTTGCCAGCGCGATAAATCAACGTCGGTTCGTGAGGCTGGGGCGGTCCAGCGGGTCACCAGGTCGCGGGAGAGCTGGTGACATTCAGCGCGATAAATCACGTGGATGCCGGACGAGCAGACACAACGGTCGAAACTAAAATTGTCGCTCGATCGGGGGGGAATCCAAAGAAATAATAACAGCGTCGATCGAGGCCCGGGTGCCTCAAATAATCGATGGCTAAATACAAATAATGTGAATTTTCAGCTCATTTTAGGACTAAAAGCCACAGGATGTGAAACTTTACTGCTTTACTCGAAACTGGTAGCATCAGTTGTAAAGTTATGCTTAATTGGAATAGAGCTACTAAGTTTAGGAGCGTGTCCCGTTTTAATATACAGCGTGTTTAAAAAAGTTCAGTTTTTAAAAAAACAAAAAGGGTTTTTTTTAATTAATTCAAATATCATCTCACAGATTTGTTTGAAATTTGGCAACGTTGTTTCTAGTGATAAGGGACTGATTTGGCCCTAGCTAACTAACTTTCTAAACTTTATGGATAAAAATGTACGCCACTGATTTTAATTTAATTTCGATACTTCCCGGAGATAGAGCGACTAAATCTATTAGTTTTTCGTATGTTGAATTGTTCTCATTCGGTTATTATCGTAAAAATATTTTTCAATATTCCAACAATATTTGCGAACAGTTAGACTTAAAATAACTGAACATTTCAGGTCGGATGCAGGAATTTAATCTTCTCATGAACTCTAACTTTAACACCCTGTATCTTGGAAACATTGCATTTGCGGACCTATATTTATGGGAATTTCTATCATAAAATAATTTACGGTATCACACCCTGAGTATATTTTTATTTTGTTCCTTTTTGAAAAAATAAATTCCAACAGCAGCAATAAAAGTAGTTAATTATATTCTACTTATATTTCAAATGAATTGGTAAGCGAAAAATTCAGGAAAGAAATTCGTAAATAGTTATAATTTGAATTTAGTTACTAGACATAGCTATTAATCTTGTTTGGTGGCGTACATAATAATTGAAAATATACATCTTCCTAGCTGTATCTAATTTTCCGAAGATCGTTGCGAATTCTGAAGATTTATATTTTGTTATATTGCTTATTTAGCCAAAAATAGAGGTAGATTTTCTCGCCACAAAGGGCATTAAAGTATGAAGATTCGGGTAGTTTAGTTGTCCTCTGGTTTTAACAATTAGATATACGGCTAAATGAGTTATAAACAATTCGTCGTTAAGTACTTGAAATCTGCAATTATCTACCAAAAACCTCATATTTTGAATTTTAAATCCACCGTTACTCAGCGAAATTGCACTTTTTCAGGAAAAAATAAAATTTTTCATCAATTTTCGTAGTGAACAGTATCCCCCGCTATGCTTCATCAAAAAACTCATTAGTATAACGTATAAAAAAAAAACTTACTTGTTATCCACGTGTATGAACCGCATGTCCATGGAATGAATGGAGGTAAATACGTTGGTGGACCCTTGCACCACGCATTCCCTCGTTTCTGGCATAGCCACGGGAGTGCAGGTGGCTAAGAATACTGGCTCGTTTCTACTACACAGAGGCAGAAATGACATATACTTGCCTTGGACTAACACAACCTAAAAATAAATCGAATTAAAACGTTATTTTCTTCAGCGAGAACCAACACATTTTCAAAAAACCTAATACAGAACACGAACAATTTACAGCAATTACATACATAGGAGAACCTAGTGAAAAAGTTCCAAAACATTTGTCAAAATGTGGTTTAAAAATAGCTTTTAGAACTAACAACACAATAGGAAAATATTTAAAAAATAATAAATCGAAATGTCCAAAATCCCCAAAATCAGGTGTCTACAGGTTGAAATGTGGATCTTGTGCTAAAATTTATATTGGACAACCAGGTAGATCCTTCAAGAAACGCATTAACGCACATAAAAGAGCGTTTAAAAACAATAGTTTAGATTCTAATTATGCTACACATTTACACAGAAAAACACATTTTTGACGACAATTTTGATATTTTACACACAGCCACAAAAAGTAGAAAATTAACTTTATTGGAAGCCGTGGAGATTAACAAAATGAGACATTCAAATGTATTGCTTAACGATCCATTAGATTTAAATACCTCTCCTTTATTGAGCTTAAATTCTCACAACAACATTAATTAAGGTCATTTTTCGGTATATATAGTAGCAGGTAGTTTGTAAATATTACATTTGATAAAGACACGGTGTTGTCGAAACAATTGTCATGTCAAAATATATAATAAAATCTGGACTTTTAGTTCTTACTTATTTTTACACATTTTCAGTTCACTTCAGCGTACAAAGAATTTTTCAGTTTTCGTGGACGTCTCAAATTACGCTAACGACTTTACTAAACCTATCATTTTAATCATGTTTATCTTGAGATATATATTTTAAGAGGAACTATTATAAAGAACGAAGAACATACGAAAAATAAACGATCCTTTATAGCATCCATTAATGAAAGATATCCAACGTAAATGGCGCAGATAATCTCAGTAATTACATAAATGCGGTACATAGCTAATGAAAGGTATTTAAATACTGATTTGAACTTGAACCCAATAACCACACGCTAAAATTAACGTTTTTGGATTTTAACTTTGCGAGTTAAGGGAAAGCATGCCGCAAAGTCATATAAGCTGGGTTTTAATGAGAAATTTCTCGTCTCGTAAACGTGATTTTTATTGCTACGTATCGGACGTGTTTAGATTTAATTTGTACTATTTTTTACAGCTTATCTCCCGCGATGAATTCTGAGACGATTTTGTGCTACTTATTCTGTTAATCGAATATAGTTTTAATAATGTGATTTTTTTTTCTTATTTATTTTATTTCATTCATTCATCATTTCTCCCCTAATGGGAAATTTGTGCTTCTTCGATCTCAATTTATTCGGTTCATTTTTTTATGGGATAGAAAATTAGAAGTATATATGTAGTATCTATAATTGATAACAATGCCGTTTGCTTATATTAAACATCTGAACTTTTTATTTAAATACCATATAGCTGTATCACACGAAAAGAGTTCTCCCCAGCAGGACAATTTTTTAAGAGGAAGTTAGGAGTAAAAACATTTAGAATTGCAAATTGAAAAGCCTTAAATTGCCTTTTTTTTTTCAATTCCATACATTTTTTTTCATAAGCTTCACTAGTAATTTTGTTTCATGGATTTTTGAAGGGATACAGAATTTAGAGAATGATAAATATAGTATAATAAATAATATGCACTATTTCAAATCAAGCCTTTGTTGAGTTGATTATTTAATAATTGTGGTAAATGTCTTTTGAAGTCTAGCTTATTCCATGGGTTTTTTCATAAGGGGATACGTATGTGAATTAGATTTTATTAATTAATGGATTTGGTCTAAAAGTTGCTCTTATTTCCTCTCGTTGCTGCAGTTTACATGTAGCAAATAACATCGTTTATAAAAAAAAGCTGCTCAAACAACGCGCGCATATAAACTTCGAGACTCCGGGATGATATATGACATAAATGGACTTAAAAGCAATGTAAAGCAAGTGAGCGTAAGAGCTGAAACAAGAATATAGCGTAGCCCATCTTAAATATACAAAGGATACGTATAGTGGTTGTCACCTACACATGTAGAGATGCGAATCGCAAAATGTGACCCCCGTTATTCAGAAGCGCTATGCGTAACGGCCGTTTTATTAAGTAATGGCTTCAAATGATATTTATGAAATCGGTTTTCCCGCGATAATTTGTATTTATTGCTTGAGGTTGCGCCTTTTTTTTTCGCAGATCAATCAAACTGGTTTTGCTGACTTATAATTGGTCAATTAAAGTTTATATATACTAGATTATTACATTACGAGTTTTACACAATAACCATTTTTAGTAATATCATAAACACCAATAATAAGTGTCCCCGGGCGTAAGATTTCTTCGCATTAAATACCCTAATAAAAAAGCGGAATTTTGGCACGCTTGCTCATTTCAATAGCGATCTTCTAAGCTCAAATATCGTATAACATTCCGATTGATTAAAATTTGAATTAATTTTCAATCGCTTCCAAGAGTGCCAAGAAAATAATTGATGTGTCTGTCATTGTCATCACATCCTGAAGAAGTCATATAAAAGAACAAAAAGAAAAACAGCGTACCGTATCAGAAGAGCACTGCTATAGCGCGAGAAGATATTTGCATATAACGTACGAGTTGAATGAGACAGAGACGAATTCAGCCCGCCTGGTACGCAGATTACAAATCCAGACTACAGATTCGATTGAACTTTTTTCAACTCGCTATAGATTTTCTAATATTTTTTATTCAGAGTTCTATTTTTTTTACTTAAAATTTGCTAATCGTCGATAGTAGACATAAATGTTTTCTGGAAAATTTAAAGAATATTCTAGTCAGTGCCTGCATTACAACAGTATTCGCAATAACTAACTACCGTCTCTCGTTTCATTCTTTTGTAATCGGAAAAAGTGTGGGCGTCATAACAACTGGGAAACCAACCCTATCTATCTAAAGTCTACTTTACATATTACACCATTGAAGCAGGTATGTAATCCTGTCAGTGTACCCAACAGATAACAGCACTAATATACCAAATAAAAACCAAATTCGGAGTATTTTAAATAAAACAAGATGTCGTTTACATTGGACAAGTTGCAAAAGTAAATAATCAAAAATGCAACATTTTGAGATTCTCAAATAAGGGCGATTCCCTTTATGCGAAACAATTAATTAATTGAGTAATTATAATATATAAATAATTTTACATATTTTAACCATATTTAACCACCCCAAAACCTTCAACAAACCCTATTACACGCTAACTAATTATTTCCTTAGTATAATTTACCCCCGGCAAGACAAATTTTTTGTTAAATTTCTGTTTTTCGTGCTTTCTCCAAATTATTAATTATATTCGTTTAATTTTTTTAATTCGCCGAAACTATAATAACCGTATTCAATTAATGCAATTACTCTACTACTATTGTTGTTATGGGCTTAACGTTTTTTCCCAAAGTCGATTTTTGGTATTGTTTTTTCTGGTTGTTCAGAACACTCACAGGTTGATCTACCCGCGTGGTTATGTCATAAACCCCAAGAGTTTCACCTCAAAGAGGGAAGACAACTTATAACTTTAATTATTTCAAACAAGTATTGAAATTTCTCCACCAAAGCCGTCCATTACGTACATGCTATATTGAAGTGTAGCCTCAAGCCTCAAGTTTGAATGAATTGGAGATGGGAGGAAAATCTCTTGTATAGAAAATTAAAGAAAATATAACGATGAAGTCCAAACTCAAAGTGATAAAAGTCGATTTTTATTATTATTTTTTCTTGTTTTTTGTTCAGTTGGAAAATTGCGGCCAAAATTCTAGATAAAAGTGAGATGAAAAGTGTTACTTTTACCATAGAACATTCCCAGTCTTTTCTAAATCATTTTGATGTTATGCATTTTATTCCACCAATGAAGATGATCCCATACTATTTTCAGTATATTCGCTAGAGCCTGAAAAGTAAAATCACTGTACCCAATTGTATTTTATTTTTTTTATAGATTTCGAACATATTTGGAAAAAGTCACATTTAACTACGTGTATCTTGAAAACCGAGACGTTGTGGACTCTAGTTTAGACGAAATTTAGGAACTATAACATTCCGAATTATTTACGCAATAATAATAAATTGCCTTTATTGTTGTATATTTTTATATACAAATATACAGTAGAGAAGAGGCAAAGTCTTTACTAATACTAATAATAATAATAAATTGCCTTTGTTGTTGTGTATTGTTATATCTAAATATACAGTAGAGAAGAGGCGAAGTCTAGCAAAAGCTACTCCACTTAACCTCTTAAATGTTTAAATTGAAAACTAGATAGGAAATTATAATTACATTGATAAATTAAATATAGTATAATAGATAAATATAATAGTAATATGGAACAATAGAAAGTTATTAACAGTAAAAATTGAAAGAATGACATTGAAAATCAAATATTTTTGAGAAGTTAGCAGCTTCAACCTGAAATATTTTTTAAAGAATTTAATTGAATTGTGATTTTACTGGATCGGGTATAATATTATGATTCAGCATTACGAAGCTGTAATTTAGCTCGTAAGTAGGACGGATTGGATGTGTTAATAATTTGGAAAACAAAACGCCAAAAAGTACTTGAAAGTACTGTCAATTTTTAGCCCGGGATTTTGTGGGAAATCCAATCAAATTTAAGCAATTTTTTGCAATCTATATTTATTAATACTATCAAGACATGGGGAACCATAGTTCTTAATCGAAAGGACAAGTGATTGAGCTAAAAGTTTCCGTAAACTGAAATTAAGAACAGTTCTGATCCGGTTGCATCTCGTGATTTCAGTGTTGTAGTCACCCCGTACAAATCGTATTTCATTCTCGCAAGAAATATCAGCGGGATTATATCAAATCAGCATAGAAACGGCAGCAAATACCGATACTATACCCAATAATAAACTGTAATACGTGTTGTATTGTAAATGCGCAACTTGTAGATAGATTCTCGCAATATCTATTCCACATTTCCATGGTGTGGGTGGAATCGGTACTGTTCACGGTGCTACTCTCGCTTCGTAGTACCAACCAATACGACGGGGAGCGGTGTGGGGCCGCAACGTGGCTCCGGGGGGGAAAGAGGAGGGATAGTCGACCCGCGCACACCCGCTGAGTTTACTGCATAGTGAAAGGTAGATCCGGATCGCCTCGCGGACGCGAATACAATCATTGGCGGCGATTTGGTACTTCATAATCATGTTTGATAATAATTAGCGAAAAAACAATACCTCACACAACCAAGGTGGTTACGTCATAATACCCCATAATACCTCAAAGAGGTAAGGATGAAATTTACATGGTGCAAAGTATGACCTTGCTCCGTACATCATTCTTCAATTCTTTTTCTTCATTTCGAACAAGCATCTTAATTTATCCACCAAAGCCATCAATTGTGTCCACGCTACAATTAAATAAAAGTAGCCTCAAGGCTGGGAACTGTGAAACATCAAAAATTACAGCGAATGGCATCTGCTCCAAAAATGTTGTCCGCAGCAGGAAAATTGCTTAAAAGGAAGTTAGGAATAACAACATTAAAAATTGTAAATAGACAAAAATACTTCATAGGAGAGAACTAACCAAGAAGATAACGAAGACGTCAAAAGTTAGTTATGTGTGAAGTATTTTTTATTTAACTTAACTTAAATGAAACCAGTAAAAAATTGTATCGTTGATACAAAACCAGACGCCTGACGTTGAATGGACTCTAGTAAGTATTGGGTCGCTCACTGCACATACATACGTCCATATATTTCCCATTATACTTCAAAAAGTGATTTGAATAGACGCCCGTTCTTGATTAATTTGGAGGAACAACTTATTAAAAAAAACTATAAGAAATCGGGACGTATCAAAAATAGTCTCTCCTATGATCTCTTTGAGTTTGGGCCATGCCTTAGTGGACCCCGAAATAAATATTTTGCAAAAAAAAATGAATTCGACTATCGAACTACCAAACAGTCCCTCCTATGAATACTAACTGCGGTTTGTTTTCATGCCGCTCCGATTGCTTAAATGAGGAAATATTATTACAATTCTGATCGCGATAAATATCGATTTGCAAATTACATAAATAAAACGTCATTAACATTATTTTCCCACGTTCCAAAATTTACAAGTCGCGCTTATGACGCGAACGCAAAGTGAACATTCCGAAATGGACTAGCGATATGCCATTGTTTGGACGAAATAAATTTTGTCTTATCACTTACCTCCTTCGGTACGTTACGAACATATTTTTATTAACAACAACAAAGTTGTAGCTTAATGTTAGAAACTTAATTAAATTACTGAAAAGGGAGTTGTACCGGGCGTTTCCCTGCGAGCGCTTTCGTTTTAATTTTGTATCGCTTTTATAAAACGAGATGTATAAAACGTTTACATTGAACGAAGAATTTTAATTTGCATAATATTGGGTTCTAAATCTTATACAACGTTTATGGCCTGATCGGCGTAAATTGGTATTAAGAAGATTAAAGAAAGTTTCTTACTTTTTGATCACCAAATCTCATTTGTCTCCTGGCGTTCCTAGATACGTTCATTCGACATAGAAACAGCCGAATTTCATCGTTGGAGTTACTAGTTGTTCCCGCATTTACTACCGGCCTCCCTAATTCGCACTGAATCGCTTGGTGGTCTTGTTTATCGATAATGTCGTATACACTATCCCCATGGATGAGCAAATCCTCCTGAAATGTCACATAATAAAACCGATTTTCTACAGCCAGCATGTGCTGCCGTGGACAGAAAAAGCGTATGTTACAGTAAGTTCGATTTTTAACCTTAGATCTATAGAATGTAGAGCATATGTCTCCAGATTTTATACTTTACACATTTTTTTATATATTATTAATCAATCAATTTTTTATTATATAAAATTACATTATATTAAATTCTAAGTAATTTATTTACATTTATTGTGTAAAATGTAGCGACATATTTATTACTTAAAAATAAGTTTTGAAACGAAGATATGTTTCACAATAACGCGTTTTGTAAAACGCGTTATTGTCTGTTAGTGCAGTGCCGAAGGTTCCAGTCAAGAGTTTGATAAAGATATGTTTAGTGGGTTCAATAAAATGAATGAATACCTACAAAGTAAATGATTAACTGTAATGCCGAGCTACATCAAATCTCGTTTAATAACACCCACGGTTGGACTGAACAACATCATTTTTTAGAAAAAAAAAAGTTTTAGTAATGAAAAAAAAAAAAAAAGTTTTAGTAATGAAAATCCCGTGTGGGGTTTGCTGGATCCCCCATCGGGCGCCTCCCCAGGTGGTGGATAGGGGAACGCCTCCCAAGATATAGGTGGTACCGAGGAAATAAAATACTCGGGGCGAACCAAAATCCAGCCTGGAGATGGGCAGCAGCATTTTCAGTACCGAGCTGAAGCACAAAAGGAATGATCTTGGACTGGTTTAGGGGAGGACAGTGAAGGGCTCGACTGTAACAGTATTAGATGGCCTTCATACTGCGATGGGGAAGGCAACGGGAAACCACCCCATTATTTTCCCGCGTATATCACAATGGCAAGAAACTCACAAAGAATGGCCCTCAGTCCCCGGCAGACCTTTGATGGTCAGAGGGTGCGAAGAATCCCCGGGTTAAAAACTATGAACCACACTTACAAAATAGCGACATGGAATGTGCGAACACTGTTTGAGGGAGGTAAGCTGGCAAATGCCTGCCATGAGATGGACAGGCTTGGTATACATATCCTTGGAATTAGTGAAACGCGATGGCCCGGCTCAGGATCGATCACGACCTCAAACAAAACCTTTTATTATTCGGGAAACAATGATCCCAGCCATCGACATGGAGTGGGCATCTTGCTGAATTCCAATATAGCGGCCTCGGTTGTAGGTTTCGTACCATTATCTGACCGATGCATGCTCATACAACTAACTGGAAAGCCTGTAAATATTAATTTGATTCAGGTATACGCTCCGACTGGCGACAAACCACTGGATGAGCTTGAGAAATGGTATAGTGACCTCAAGGAATTACTTAGTTACACGCGAAAGGAAGAAGTTACCTTTGTTATGGGGGACCTAAATGCGAAGGTCGGAAAGGGAAGAGTAATGAAAATATTGTAAACTTTTTGTGTCATAGATTCTATACAACAATTCAAATATAAGACAAGACATATGTATATTACGAATTTGTTAATTTCTAATTTTGCATTTTTTTAAAACCCTAGAGAATTTTATATCGTGCAAATTCAGTTTTCTGCGTCTCATTAAAAATTCCATAACGCTTTTGTTTTAAAGTTATTGGCATTTTGAAAAATGCTTTTAAGAAAACGCGATATTTGAACATACGCTTTTGTAATGTGCACGGCAGCGCGGTTATCAAAAATGTGGGCCACAAATATTATCCACACTTCAATAAATTAATAATACCCCCGATATCGCATCGGTGTTTGTTTATAAAGACGGAATCGTAACTAATTTTTACTAAGCAGAAATTGCCCAGACAATGATTTAACTTCTGCACAATAGTTAAGTAGTATTGTTCAGTGTCATATAGTTATAATGTCGAATACAAAGCGATGTAAGGTGGGTGGAGTACAAAACATATTAATCGAGAAGCAAAACGCAATGTCATTCAATTTGATGACACGCAATCATCATTGGCCGATCCAAGTACCAAAACAAAATCCCGACCGAACGTGTCAAAGAAAATGCCGCATATTAAAAAATTGACTTGTATTATGTGTGTTTTGAATCCGTTAATGATAATAAGGCTTTTCGGGAGCTTTGGTTAGTGCGGCACATAAAATGTACGTCCATTATTTTGATTACAAGCCACTAGTTGATTTGATAATTTCCACCTTCGCGTGTTCTTAATCATTTATTTTTACATCTTATTGCTTATTATTAGTCGTTTGGATAGAACTTTTTTCATTCCTTGCTTTCATTCACTGTCAATCGAATTCAATATAATATAACATTATTTTTTTAAGTATTAAGATAATAGTCTTTCGGTCGTACTAGTTTATATTTTATATTTTGATTATATTTTAGGCCAATCAAGTGAGGTGACTGCTCTTGCTGTGCAAAATTGAACCACTTTACATGCATTATGTCTTTTATTTTTGGTTAACGTTTCTTCACTCTTTTTCATTCAATGTTAAACAAAAAAATCAAGGTTTTTAACTTCCTTTGAGTTGTATTGTATAAGAAAACTAAATCCAATAAGCAGCAATATACATAATATTCACGAGAAGTTGGATGGATAATATTTTGATTTCTAAATAATTTTGCTTTCTTAATTCTATAATCACAATCCCTCGTTATAAACAGCTTAGGTTAATCATTTTATATAAGGTCACTGTGGGTAATAAGGCCTGTGCACGTAATAAGGTCCATGTACCCATTTAACAATAAAAAAGAATTAAATTAAATTCGCAAACCAGCATAAGCAGCCAATAAGGTAGTTTTTGACAGATAGCATTCAGTGTTTTGCCATGTGCATTATCCGGTCGAAATTATAAAAATTTATGACTGAACGGCGGCATTTTTTCGAAAAAAAAAAAAAGAGTCAGATCAAGAATTCTAAGAAAATTAAGATTACGAAGTTACGAAGCCAGTATTCAAGAGGAAATTTCATTTTTTTTACTTAACACATCCTCAACATGATTTCGTAGCAATGTGGGTAATAAGGCCCAGACAGATATCAGTTGGGCCTTATTACCCACCACTTGAATTAATTAAATTCAATTTTTTTTATTTTTCTTTACAAAAATATGGCCAAGAAATGTCGCTGCTTGAAGGCCAATTTGCCGCAGGACATGAAAAGGAAAATCCCAGCGTTATGTGGAAACTAGATGTGGTATACCAAGTCGCACCCTTAGAAACCATTTGGAAGCCGAAGCTGTTAAAAGAATTCTAGGGGCGAGTCAGTGAAGTACAAGAAAGTGATTTGACATTAAAGGCACTACTACGAAGTGTATTGAAGTATGTTGAAAGGCAAGGGACTTCCAGCCGTTTCAAGATTGAGACATTTATGAAGCGACATCCTTCCTTATCTCCATGAAAGGCTCAGTCGATGAATCCTGCTAGAGCGGCAAAGCTTAATCCCTTTGGTGTCATTGGTATCCTACCAATGACATTGTTTAAAGGTCAGAAGCTGAAACCAACTTTTAGTGGCGGATTACCACCGGGATCTGAAGTGAACATATCTCCAAAAGGTGACATGACCACCTGAAATATTGAATGGCTCAGTTATTTTTGCAGGCTTATTCAGCCGCCATTTCTCTTAATATTTGATGGTGCTCCACGTTTCAATTGTTGATGCTACCGACCATCTGGGAATTTACTTATTCACAAATTCCCAGATAATAAAATGAACAAAGAAAGATTTTCTGAAGTTTTTACGCCAGTTTGAGGGATATCTATGACCATCCATAATATTACACATGGATTTACCCATTGTAATTCTTGGATGCATGATCATTGTATGGGGCTAATTAAAAATGAGCAATAACCGACGCAGGAGGAATCGAGAAGTATTGTAAAAAGTAGTTTATTTGCTCACTTTCCATTACAGAAATAAAGCGGGTCTTATTACCCTCTATGGTTGGAAATAACTGTTTTAAATAAAAATACCAGTGTGATGTTTTAATTTGAATAAATATTTTTTGCAACATTTTGGTTTATGTTGGGCCTTAATACCCCCGGGGACCTTATCTAATTTATCTACGATTAGAGTTGCAGCTCACTCTTTAGCTTGGGAAGCCCAAAAAGTTAGCTCACCTGTAAAACACTCACCATGGAATGGCCCAGGTACTCTGCAGCATTATCTGATATGTACAAAAGTTTACCATTCTGCGTCATCATCATTAGAAACCCACTTAACGCCTGTAAATAAAAAAATGACGTGTTAGTTGAATAGTACGCTTGCAATACAAAATCATAAAAAAATAAATTTACTTTGGGTCAAATGCCAACCTACCAAAACTTTTGTTTTGAATGAAAGTGTTGTCTATGACGTGTCCATGATTATTTGGTCGTCAGAATGCTTATAATGCGGATAATATGTGTAACCATCGCTTTGTAAAATATTTTACGGATTTCTATGCACGAAAGTAGACCCCTGTATATATCTTTAGTCAAATTAAATTTGGAACGCAGTTTGCTGTCAAAACCAAGATACCAAAGTGACTGTTCAATAACAAAGTTTATACGATAATCGCAGATAAGATCAATTTTTTATCTAACACCCAACCGGTGCAGTTGACAGTTATTTTTAACATTTTTTTTTTTCAAATGGGAGATTAACTTCAAGGAATACTTTTAACAATTTTAATCGCATAAAATGTAACTACACCGATAAGATCAGCGGCAGCGAAGCTATAATGTGCGCTGACACTTTTCATTTTCACACGTGGGGCTCTGCTAATATTTCCGATTTGTCACGAATGATTTTGAATTGTGAAAGATAAAATTTCGTAATTAACAGAAGTGAATATGTCGCTTCGTATCAAATGGAGTAAATTTTATTTGCCATAAAATGAACCGTTTCATCGATTAAAAAAAGTATTATTAATTGCTAGTAATTTAATCGAAACATTAAAAGCCTTTACCGCGTTTTGGACTGAGGTTCAGAATCTTCTCTCAAGATTGACACTCTTCTGTAAATCTTGTCGTATAACCTAACACTCAATTTTCACAAAATTTTTCACTCAATTTTCACGAAAAGCAATTTTATTTATTTTATTTTTATTTATTTTTGTTTTTTTTAATGACAGAAATATAACTTTATGTATGTTGATCCCCTTTTGACGTTAAAGAATTACATGTAGTAATTTCCCAGAAAATTGAAATAGAATTAACAAATAACTTGCGTTATTATTATATTATTTAATTATGAGAATAATCATAATTAATTTTATCAGCCTTTAAGGGAATGTTTTTGAATGCAACTCATTGTTTTGGTGACATTTCACAAAATTTGTTTGTAACAACGGAGTTTTTAGAGCATATTTAATTCGGAATATCATTTTTACATATTTCATTGTAACATCTAATGTATAATAATTGGTTCACTAAGAATAAGCTAGTTATTAATAAAGCCAAGACCTATTGCAACAATTTTAAATTTAAACAACTATGACATTTGGATAGCACCTTATCATGTGGGATTTTCATGTGAATAGAGTAGTAGGTAAATTAAATAAAAAAACATTTTATATTTTTAGAGTGTCAGGGGGGTAGATTCTATGGGAAAGTGAAAAATGCTTTATCACACAAATTTTGAGTCCCATATAAGATATGTATGAAAGAGAAATAATTTTTCTTTGCCAAAAAAAGAGACCTGCGTATCATAAAAATAAGGAGAGTTTTTTTTAAAACTGAATTAAAAGGATTAGTTATTAAATTTTGTAATTTTGGGTTTAACGACAACATAAAAACAACAACTTCAACCATTCTGGGAGATATAATACTCAATTTTTTTTAAACGCTAATCGTCAGGTACTGGATCAAGAAGGATCCATTAGATTGAGGTACGGGAATCTATTTTTCACTGATCAGTAGTTTCTTTAGTTGCCTTTTAAATTTTTCGATGTTTAGTTTTTTAGTGTTGCGGAAGTCCATTGTGCAGGCTATTCACGTTATAGGAATAGCTTCTTCTAAGCAATGTGGTAGAGTGTTGTGGTGGGGTTATCAGACATCGAAATCTCAGATGTAGATTATGAATATCAGTTCCCGATACAATAATCTTAAGAAAAATTACAAAAGAGTGGAGTCTTCTTCGTTGCTCAAGTCAAGCTACCTTGCATCCCTTAACTTATGGGATCACAAACAGGAATTTTGAACTTTCTGGATTCTGTATATATTAAAATGATGATATGATATGATAGAACTGGTTTGTTTAATAGAACAGTTGTTTCTAAATAAACCCCACGTATTGTTATCTGCTACATAATTGCAATCAATATAATTCAGTTGAAGTAATCCATAAAACAATAGTGAAAAATTCAATTTAATATTATATAGGAAAAGATTACCAATATAGATAAAGTAGAGCTGCAATATAACAATAAATAAAATTTCTTAAATTGGTACATTGCGTGCCGATTTTTTGCGAAAATGTGTAAAATAATATTCCTTCGTTATCTTTCAAAGTGTGTGCATAGGTTGTAATTTAAGACGGGCCAGCGTTGCGAGTCCGCAGCAAACGGCAAAAGGAAAACGAAGACTTGAGCGCGAGCATCTCTTAAACGTTCATAAATAACAGCGTGAACCAATAAAATACAGAATAAACACAATATAAAATTCCAAAAACTGATTAGAAATCTTAATTTAGCATTATCTATGAAAGAAGTCGAACTGCGGCGGGCTTAAAATATCGCTTAAAAGCGGCATTAACGTTAAAAACCATAGACGTGCCATTATAAACATTTTTTTTATACTCCAAGTTATTAACATGTTTGTATCATTGATTATATGCATTTTTTTAAAAATTGCGTTCATTTGTTTTCCTTTTATCGCTCGTTTAACTGATATTACTAATTTTATATTAATATAAAAATTTGTTAAAATCCACGTCTTTTATACGTTATTTAAATAAATTATGATTTATTTCAATCTTTTTTTTACTTATTCCTTCATTATTTTCTTAGAAAGATAGAAAAAACTTGATTAACCATTCATGTAAGTTTTACAAAGCAACAAATAGTAAATCACCCAGTAATTCACAGTAAATAAATTCGTATGTCAATCTTAGTAAAGGACGAAAATTACATTTTACGTTTATAAACAATTATCGTTTGAAGACCTACATTAAAAAATTGTTGCAATAGAATTTGTTGCTGAATATATATTTTTTGTTGCTCGAGACTACTTCGTAAGCATATGGACTAGTTCAAATGTACCGACCTGTCTAGACCCAGCGACGCAATACCTACTAACTCATTAAAACAATTGGACTTATACCATTATTAGCCTCTTAGTAGCTTCAGCGATCAACGCCATTAAAAAAAAAATTAACCCACTAATAAAACCAATTTTTTTCATATTCAAGTTATTCACTTCCACTTAAGTTCATTTTGGCCTTATTTAATTGTTTCAATAGAACATTATATTTGCTCTTTTCTATCAACTATCAACTATTTTTGCCAATTAAATATGTTTATGTGACCGCGACCGCTAAGCTGCACCCGACGGCTTCTGCGAAAATATTTCGTGAAGAAAAAGTAGCGAAGCGCGCCATTGGTGAGACAGTTTTCTTGGGTTCGCGCTTTGCAGTAACGTAATGCTTCTCAGCGTGTAATATATTCTTTAATGATCATTTATCTGGCCGAACAATCTGAGTTCAGAGTTAGCCGGGGTACCCTTAGAACACTTTTTTTTTGGTGCAAGATAAATAATAAATTTACAAAAGTGTGTGAGTGTGATCGCTCGAAAACGAGGGTCCGATTGGGGCGTAAATGGGGTGTGTCCCGATAGATATTTGACCATCCAAGGTCGGAAGAATTCTATTTTTAATTGTTACAAAATGAATAAAAGATTGTCCGCTGATACATATCTTCTCCATAGGTCACCTGCACGCGACCTCAGGTGCTATTAACGGGATTATTTATAATAATATCGTGAACAATTTTTTTTGTAGTTGAAAATAGTAATGCAACAATAATTGTAAATAATACGATTATTTATGTACAATAGAAAATAAACCGTACAATCGTAACAGCCAACAAAAAACTATAGAGGGTATCTCATAAGTCATTGATTTTTTAATTTGTAATATATAATTTACAGGGTATGTTGTATATAAAATATTTCGATATATAATTAGATTATACTATTTTAGGAAATATTACTGCCTAAGCTCAAAAACTCAAAGTTTTTGGTAATGTTATTGCTTTCAGTTTAGTAATTAAATTAAAAAACAAAAACATAAAGTCAATTTCATAAAAGTATGTATGTATAGTAAAAAATTGTTCAACTTTGGTAAAAACGAACGATCCATACCGATCAAAAGGTCATTCCTTTTGAAATTCCTAGTTTATTTTATATGATATTTCACCTCGTAGTAATACGTTACGATTGCTCGTTTGTTGACAAAAGAATATAATTTTCTTTTCTTTTCGTAGTTCTAATGGGTCTCGTTTGTAGTCTAATACTTTTGGCTATTTACTCCAAAGAAAATAATACTCATTTCACAATTGAAATAATTTTAATCGGCTCCCTAGATTAATCCGCAACTACTATCTTGTTATTTTGTATTGTTGGCAAAATGATTTATTGGTAATCAAATAGTTATGATGAATAAGGACAAGATCCTAAGGTCGCTGAAGCATTAATTTAAGCTTAACGTATTTCATATAAAAAAAAATCTACCCTGTGTGTCTAATAGTAAAAACTAACGTTATGTTGCATTCAAATTCGTCTTACGTGGTCTAATTCGTTAGAGTAATGACTATTTTGACTAAGAGAAACTCCCACGAAGCTCGTTTTCCGTAATTTATCGAATGCTGGCTTGACGTTTATTTCGAAGTGCGTGTTGGAAGCATGTCTAACTACGCAAATTCGAAGCCCATTTAGCAACCAGCGTCGGTTTCATATATCCGAAAATGTTTAATCACACAGTCACGCTTTTTGCGTTATGCTCAGCGTGTGGGGTTAAATATTTTGATTTCTTTCCTTGAATTGTAAATACCGTGAACGGAATGTGGACCAGAATATAAGAGTGTTGTGATAATTACGACTTTTGTTCAAATCAGCTGGTTTACTAAATATACTAATTTCTCAAAATTGTAAAATAAAAATAGATTGAACTGAGGTGGCTTTTAATTGATGAAAATCCATTTATCAAAATAAATAAGAACTAAAAGTTGAGATTTTCACGAAATTAT